AAAAAACATAAAACATCGAAATTTAAAAAAGGGAAACATAATATACAACAACATAAAAACAAACCATCTTTGTGAATCGACCCACAAAAACAAACATAAACAAACATATAAACAAACACACATATAAACAAAAATTACCAAATAAACAAATACAAAACGAAAAAAAACACACACAAAACAAATAATAACACACACTAACTCAAAAAAATGAAAACCCATTAATTTTTTATCGACGAAAACAACCCCAAATTCAAGAAAATTTAGCCGAATTATATAACGAACATTTTAAATACAATTAATAACCTTCCAAACCGCACGAAAAACAACAACAACACAAATACCATTAACAAAAACACACAACAAATACAATCATTTTCACAAACACTACGATTCTACCAAAATACCAATACAACGGCTTATCGATATATAAGAAATACAATCTCGAAGTTATATCGATATATTAAAAAAATATATATAATAATAAACAAAAATTTTTTAACCTTAAATTCTCCATACCAATTAAAATTTCCATTCCTTCACCAAATTCACAACACTAATAAACACAAATCAAATCCTCTCAACTCAAATATTATACACATATACATAATTAAATTCAATAAATCATCCATCTCTCAAAACAAATCCGTAAAAATAAAAACAACCTAATTATAATAAACATAATTACAACATTAATCATAACACTATTAACATATAAATATATATTATAATTATAAATTCATATCATACAATTATATAGCTACCAAACACCTACCAACATTAGTTAAATAACACCTCAAAATCTTCAATCCTTTTAAATAAAATAACACCCCTAAATTAAACATAATCAATTTAATATAATACCTATAAAATCCTTTTTCTTATTTAAATACTATTATTAATATGCCTAATTTATCTATTGTTCAAAAAACATAATAAACATTTTTTCAATAAACATTTTTTTACTTATAATACTACAATTTCTTTAATGTTCATTAACAATATATTAATTATAATATCAAGATTTCTTTTCCAAACTTTGTTTTTACAAATTTAGACTTATAATCACGTAATTTTACAATCATTTTTAATATGTTCAATGTTAAATACTCGACCTCGCCGACTCTTTGCATCGACCGTATGGTCTTGAATTCTGTTAAAAAGCTTTAGAAGAGGAATACGGCTTTTGCTACCTTAAATCAGATCGATGCCACACAACACATGCCTCTAACGCCCAAAACACAACGAACCACTTACCCCGCCTTTATCAGGGCGTCCACCAAGATCGGTAAGAGCTTCTTGCGAGCTCTAGCCTAAGTCGAAGAAGGAACTCCAAGAGTGACTTACTTTAGGCTATGGAAATCAAGGGGGTGTCCCTAGAAGAAGATTGTATACTAATAGGGGGCGCGCCTTGCGACCTGACGTTTCTCTATCTCTCTATATATATACACATATATATATATATTATTATATTGGAGATGGACAAGTGCTGCACAGCCTGCGCATAGTTTTTTTCCACCATGTAGTTGGAAAATCCAACGTATTCACAAACGCCGGCAGCGTTCACTTTTGCCAGCCAAGCTTGCCAAGAACCTTGCCAACACTCGCCTGTGAACTAGAAGAGCTTGGCAAACTAATCCAACGTCACAACTGACACTTCCTGGAGGAAACCCAAGTTTAGGGAAAAAAGGGCTTGGACCTTAAACTATATCCCTCCCACAAACATGGCGCCTGTCGGGTACTGAAGACGTTCCCTTCAGGAATTGACCCTTACTGGGCGACATGTTAGTAGCCAGTATCTACCTCATTCCAACCAAACCATGCAGTCTTTGCGAAAAACCCAAAGGGAAGCCCCAGCTGTTTCGAGCCCTTTCGGAAGCGCGGGCTCACGCCTCGCGCCAAGCCTCGGGGCTCACCTTGCGGGTTGGATGGGACCACGGAGTAGCCGCTCCGCTCCGGGTCCGCGAGGTCGCCTGATCGGTTTTCTGCACGCTCGCAGAGTCGGATTCTATTGGCCAGCATGCTCAGCCTGGCGCCCGATAGGCTCGCACACATGTCCGGGCCAAGGAGAGCCTGGAGGACTGCTATGAATCAAATCGCTGGTGAAACTTCGTCCAGACATGGCTCCACGTCCGGCGGGAATGCCGAGCACTCTTTCATTTGGCACGCCCCTCAGCCCACTTGAAGCCCGCATGACTTCTAAGCAAAGAACTTCTTTGCTGGCAGAGCGCACCGGGCTAGCGTTCAACGCTTGTGAGAAAGGCACGCAGCTCAGTCATCTAAACCCATTCAATGGGCTCTAACAAAACGGGTTCCGATCTCATCCAAAAGCATCCGAAAGGAAATCCTTTCGTAGAGCCTGCTCAACGGGTCCAGGTACCACCCGAGTTTGACAAGCCCTCAACCCCCCTGTTTCCTTACGCAGAACCAGCAAGAGTCAGGTTCACCTGACAACCGTGCTTTCACAGTAGGGGACCCCCAAAAATTTCCGTTTGAGCTTGACCACCCCCCCAAAAAATCCGAGCCTCAAGATTGGACTCCGGACCCCTCCCTGAAAGCTGCTCACCCTGGGACCTCACCCCGCTCTGAGCGTGACGCGCGAACCCCCCCCCCCCCCTTCCGCCTGCGGGTTGAGCTCTTGGAGAAGCTGCAGCTGAGCGGAAAACCGCTCCTCCGACGCGCAGCACTTCGGACCCTGCGAGCCAAAAGCCCCCGATGTCCCGTTGTGGTTCTCGGCTGAAGGGAACCCTGAGGAAAACCCAGCAGTTCCTGAGTTAAGCATGCAGTGCGTTGTACACTGGAAATTGAATTGGGAGCATAGCAACATCCCTAATCGAACACCAGCCAGGTATCCCAACGGCGGCTTCGGGAAGTCCAAAACCTTCCGCGCTCGTCAAACCTGAAAGGGAACCCACCCATTGCCTCCACGAAATGCCTGAGCTTGTGCAGCTCCAGGTCGATGTGTTCCTTTCGGACATAAGCAAACAAACAAAACAAACAAACGGACGGGAGGGGTCGGCTCGATTGGGTTCTGGAGGATGGTTGCTTATCTTGAATGGGGTCTAATCCCCCTTGAGCTTCTCATGTGGGGAGGGACAGGTCGAGGGGGGGGGGGGAGGTTTTTTTTTCTTGCACGCACTCACACATCATCACTCTCCTATTTTAGAGACCAAGCATTCTTCAACGTACCCCACAATTGAATGCAATTTCCTATTCAACATGGAACTCGAAAAAGGGGTTCACAGGGAAAGTCCTCTGTAGAGAAACATGACAAGGACAACCAAAGCAAATCCCATCCAATCTAAAACCAATGTCAACGAAAAAATAAAATAAAAAAAGAAAACCTCACACTCAACCAAGAGCAAACAAAGCCCAACCTAAGCAATACCAATCAAACCTGATCCAAACAAATGAAAACCCAACACCAAATCCAACCCAAGCAAAACAAAGCCGAATCCGACCTCCTGGGGCCCAATCCAATCAAACACCGGCACAGAAACGAAACCAAATCCAGCTAGAATCAAGCAGATCCAGAAAGAAAACAGTTCAACCACCTTTAGAGCAATATTTTTTCGGGGGCTATCTATGTGTAAGGGGTAAAGGCATGGCCTTGCATGTTCTTGAGCCTGGGTTTAGGCCTCGAATGTGAGAAAGCCCACTGCCCCCCCATAGTCTGCATTGCCCCAATTGATCACCGCGCCTTCCTTCACATTGCAAATGCCCTTCCCGTGGCCGCCGGCCGGACGGGGCTCACAACGGCATGCAAGTCCCCGTCTTGCAAGAAGCCGCGATGGAAATGTTTCTGGCGCCGCAGCTTTCAGCTCCCTTGCCAGTGCCTCTGAGAAAAGGGTCACCGAGCAGGTGCCGCTGGCCAAATGTACGTGAAGTGCTACGTACATTCCGCTTTCAGCCAAAAGGCTGGCGTAGCCAAGACCCTGCATCAACGCCGTCTAGCCGGAATCTTGTAACGAAGAGCTGAAGAAAGCGCCTGTTTGTGGGGACTATCGCCAGTGAGACTCAATTATTCTCTTTACTCCACTCAGTTGGGATCCCAAGTAGCGGTTTCAGCGGACTCCGATTCATTGCAACAGGAAAGTCCAGTCATCTGCGGCCATCCGAACCTGAGGCCATGAAGGGCTTCTCAGACCCGAGGGTGGATAAGAGAGCTACCGAACGAAGGAAACTCAGGGAAAGAACGCACACACACGCGCCCGGAAAAGAAGACACCCTCCGCCGACTCATTTCTGTTCCATGGTTTTGCAGGCTCTGGATGTTTCCGACAAAGCTCTATGAGCGGCTATGGCTTGGGTTTGCCCACGGGCCGTTGTCCAAGCTTAAGGGGAAACTCAAAGCGACAGCATCACTTCTCCAAATAGTTTAAGATACTGCCTATCAACATATCTTCTGCGCACTCACTCGGGACGAGCAAATACTCCTTTAGTTCAACGACCACTGCCAGCAGCCGCTCGCCCGTCGTCTTTTTTCCATCGCGACTTTGAATTCCGACCGCCTGGCGCGGCGGATCAGCTTGCCTGGCACAGGTGACATGCGCAAGACAAGTGAAAGGAAGTAGGGTGGCCAGGGGAAACATCCGTGGTGGGCAAATGGGTGCAAATTTGCGCAACTTTTGTACTGCAACATCCATCTCACATCTGCGAGGAACATATCTGTGATCTTGGGAAAACTGTGGAGAACTAAGCGCGCAGTGCAATCAGCAGTGAGAAACGACTTCAGTAGATTTTGAGGCGTAGAAGAAGTTATGTGTTGCAAATGAGGGAGGCAAACATTTTTCTGGACTAGTGGGCATGCCAGTCACACAGAAGTGAGGGAGTAAGGTAAAGCAAAAGGGATAATACAAAACACGTCAGCAATAGCGCATTTTCTGTGCGAACAAACATGACTTGACGCTTTGGCATGTCCCCAGATCCGAGGCGAGACAACACCAAAGCCAAACTCATGATACATTGAGGCTTGGTTGGGTGGTGTCTTGTTGGGTTCCAGAAGCCAGCAACTGCGGCGCTTGCCGGACAAGTCGCAAGCCATCTATGCTATGTTCTTACAGTGGAGAAGTCGGATTTCAGAAAGGCCGCTGAGCGCAAAGAGATCAAGTCAGAGGGTGTGTCATATGCATCCAGGGTTCACAAAGGCAACCAAAGGTTTTCGCAACCAAGGCAAGTCTGACTGCGAGCTGGAACCGGCCATGGATCCCTGAAAACCACAACACAGGCCCAGAATTGTTTTATAAGTGGCAGCCCAGAATATTTCACACAGGTGTGCCCAGTCTTTCAGGGTATCAAATCCTTTCGTCAGGGTACCAAAGCCCTTTGGGGTGGCTTTCAAGCGAAACCCAAAGGGCAAACCGTTGCTATTTTCGGGCGACCCACTCCCTCCCCGCATTTGGCCGGCCATGGGCCCGGCCTGGCTTTTCCGGCGACTCCGAGTGCGGCGTCCGTCAGATGCGGAAACCGCCCAGACCGGTGGGGCTGCCTGGCGCAGGGCAGAAAGATCTCGGCCAAAGGCTGGCGGAATCGGATTCTTGTCTTGAAATCCATTTGAGAAGTCCCCTAGAAACATAGCTCCAGTAGTGATAGATTGCCAGTATTGTTTCTTCTTTTTTTCGGTAAATGGAGGTGAAACTGCCAGTTGCGAAACATTCCCGAGGATGACGTACGCTGCATGGCTATCATAAAAAAAAGACTTGAACCAACCCCAGACCTGGTCTTCAGGGAACCCACCCCGACTAGTCAGTGACCATCACCTCACTCGGATTCAGTCCAGTCCTTCTCCGGGGGACACCTGGACAGCAGTACGTGGTAAGCAACCACAGTCAAAACCAGCTCACCGCAAGTCCCACTTACCTGCCCGGCGCCTGGAATGCATGATCCACACACCCGCATGGCGTATAAAACCAAGCGGGCCTGGAAAATGGGCGTCGTGATTTCCCTTCAAACCAACAACTTCCTGATACTCATAGTCGACCCTTGAAACCACACAAAAAAGGGGAAACACGTGAAAAACGACACCCAAAACAGACACCGACGCAAGCAGCTTTCACCGGGAACTTTTGCGCTGACCGAGTTTTTTCGGGTCATGGGACTCGGCTTCGGCTCGGCCTCCCCAAGGCACTGGGCTGCTGCGTGGGCCTGGGCGAGGCGTCCTTTCGCCGGGCATCCAAACGCTTTCTGATCTGCGAAAAGCGAAAAGCTTCTGATCCGGCCACATGGAAACGCAACCACCAGCGTCAACTTTTGTTGCTTGGGTCCCTTGTCGAGCTTTGAATCAAAGCCTTCCCGGTTCCCAGGTCAGCCGCAAGTTGGCGCAGCAGAGAGAGAGAGAGAGAGAGAGAGATGTCAAATACCATGCTGTACTACTTGTCCTTTGTACATGCATGATGTTCACTACTCGACCGCAGGCCTTGAGTCTACAAGCAAAAGAGCGCATGCTGGGAACCTACATTTGTGTTTGTGACAACAGAAACAACACTTGCACTTGTAGTAAAGTATCGACTAATTTTAACGTGGTAGCGGAGCTGAGATCCTAAACATAGGGGAGCTCCAGTAACAGCAGTAAGTACTACAACTGCACAGGCAACCAACATGCCCAACTACTACGACATGTCAGGAGAACCAGCATCAGCATCAGCACAACCAACTACAGGAGCAGACAACGGGCCCACAGCAGAAGAGACAATAGGAGCCACAACTACGGGAACAACACAGGAGCAGGAAGACGTCCAAAGGCTACACAAATACAAACTGCCACCACCGTTCTTCACTGGTGACTACTCACAGTATGAAGAGTGGCTGTTCAAACTACAAGCATATCTCGGACTTATCGACCGAGACTTCGACATGGTGCTACAACTAGCACAAGCAGCTACAAGACAAATTGAAGATGCAGACATCAGAGCCCACATACGCGACCCTACACAGGCAGCAAAAGCAGTAGACCTCTCACGAGATCTACACTACATCCTCATCAACATCTGCCAAGGAGCAGCAGCTACAGTGGTTAGACAAAACCGCTACAATGCCAATGGATGTGAAACACTACGGCTTTTGCACAACAGGTTCAGCCTACCAGTAGGAACACGCAGTGTTGGCTACCTCACCAAACTACTGGAACCTACATTCAATGAAGCACAATTTGAAGAACAATTCCTACAGTGGGAATACGACATCAACCGCTACGAGAAAGACAACGGCACAGCACTACCAGATGGAGTAAAGATTGCAATACTACTCAACAAGACCAAAGGAGCACTCCAACAGCATCTCCAACTACGTGCTGGACAGATCACGAACTACAACGAGATCAGAGTTGTCATCCTGGACTACTACAAAACCATCTCTGCATTCTCAAGAGCGAGCTCAGCAGTTGGCACAAACTACAATGGTGGGACAGCACCGATGGACGTGGACAACATTTGGAGAAAAGGAAGAAACTACAAAGGCAAAGGCAAATGTGGAGGCAAAGGACACTACAAAGGAAACAAAGGAAAAGGTAAGTACAGAAGCAAAGGCCACTACAAAGGATTCGACAAAGGCAGCAAAGGACACTACAACAAAGGAGGATACAACAAGAACAAAGGAAAAGGCTACTCAGGATCCAAAGGACATGGATCAAGCAAAGGCTACAAAGGCCAAGGAAACTACAGCAAATCAAAAGGAAAAGGAAACAGCAATTACACAACATGCCATCGAAGTGGCAAACCAGGCCACTGGGCACAAGACTGCAGAGTGCCAGTATGGCACATAGGAGAAGGAGAAGAACTACATCCACTAGAACAAGAACAAGCAGATCACGACAACAATGAAGAACTACCTCAGGATGTGAACGACAATTGGGACTGGTACTACGAAGGAGAAGAAGGACAACACGAGGTGAACTACATGGAGGAGAACTGGAACGACTACGACTATGACAACAGCTGGGATTGGAATGACAACAGCTATGAGGACACTGCAAACTACATTGGAGGCATCAACGAGTCACACCTCACAATTGGACACATCAGACAAGCAAACTCACGACTACACAAGCACAAATCCAAATCACTACTCGGCAAGAGAACGACACACACAACATCATGGAACGACCACAGCAAGAGTTTTCAACAATTCCTACAAGAAGACAACACACAGGCATACTTCGACATAGCAGCAGCAAGACAACAACAAAGGAACAAGAAGATTGAGGACACTATCACTAACTACATCATGTACTCCAACTTCAAGTCATACCACCACCTGCTGATCGACTCAGGAGCGTCTACACACGTTTGCCCGAAGGACTACGCACCAGACCTACCGCTTCGACCTTGTGGAGAATCAGTTCCACAACTCTACACGGTTACCAACAAGAAGATTCCTGTCTACGGCATCAAGTACGTTCCCTACAAGCAGGACAACTTCAGGATCATGATACCCTACTACGTTTGTGATGTGAAGTACCCAATCCTCAGTGCATCAAGACTACTTGATAGAGGATATGGACTTGACTTCACTCCACGACACTGCACCATCACACATGGACAACAACAAGCACACCTCATCAGACACTCAGGACTTTTCTACCTACGAGCAGAGAAGATCGACATCCCTACAGGATTCGACATCTACCCAATGACTACAGACAGTGGAAAATCCATTGCTGTGATTCAACCTACAGAGAGAGCAGCACAACAACAAGAACAAATCGCACCACTCACACACACAGACCAAGGACTACGACAGATCCTTGGTGGAAACACTGACTACTGGAAACTTGATGGTGACTACGCCATCAGAGTACACAAACGACCACGCAAAGCACTATTCACACCACACAACAGTGGTTGCCCAATACCTGAAGAAGAACTAGATGATTGGCGACTAACCATCATCAACAGACAAGGGCAAGAGCAAGAACAACTACAAGAGAACCCAACACAACTTTCCAAGCAAGAACTACAACGAAGACTAGAAGGTGACAACTGGACTGGAGAAACCAGATTCAGAAGAAAGATAACACCTACACGCAGGAGGACAACCAAGACTACTGGGAAAGACAAGGTGAACAATGGATACGACACCACACAACGCTTAGAACAACTCTCTTCACTCCAACAGATGGACCAGGACATCCACCAATCAACACACTTGAACCTCACAGAACTACAATCACTCAAAACAACTTTGGAGAAGTTTCACAACGCAAAGATGACTGGACAGTCATGGGCAACGCAGCACTACCATTTCAATGGAAAGGAACAACAAGGTTCACCGTGAAGAAAGATTACGAGTACATCCAGGAGAATCACGATGAGGAACAACAACACGAGCATCATGAAGCACACAGAGCAATAGGACTACGACAACCTCAGCAGCCCACTCCACAACAAATAGCAGAACACAACTTGACACACCTACCATACAGAAATTGGTGTCCAATTTGCGTTCAAGGCAAAGGACGCCAGGACAACTACAAGAAACAACAATCACGACAACCCATCATCCAAGTGGATTTTGCCTACATCAAATCACAACAAGATCCGAAGACCATACCAGTCTTAACGGCAGTTGATGTTACTACACAACTGTGCATGGCGGTATTGGTTCCGGACAAACCATCAATGATGGACTACATGATCAACAACCTACAAGCATTCATCTTTGAATGCGGAAGAACACACGGCATACTACAAAGCGACAACGAAGACACACTCAATGCACTACTACAAGCAACAGCATCTAAAGTCGGCTCAATGACTGTACGACATTCACCGTCCTACAGCAGCAACAGTCAAGGAAGCGTTGAGCGACTACATAGAACACTTCTCGGACAAATCCGCGTCGTCAAAGCTCAGGTTGAAAGCAACTACAGCATGACGATGTCCACAAAGCACTGTCTACTACCTTGGATAGTACGACACGCAGCATGGACGGTAAATCGCTACGTCATCCACTCAGACGGCTACACAAGCTTCGAACGCCGCTGGGGAAGAAACTACGAGCGAGCAATCTGCGAATTTGGCGAGACACCTCTACCTTCCACCACAACACAAGAAACTCCCAAAAGCAGACCTACGGATGCAGAAATGCATCTGGCTCGGAAAAGTTTCCGAAACCGGAGAAAACTACGTCGCAACGGAATCAGGCGTACAAAAGGTACGAACAGTGCGGAGACTACAACCGGACTTCAAATACGACCTCGCACTATTGAACAAAGTTTCCGGCACACCGTGGGCACCACGACGGAACACCTACAACCCATCGTTCGCAACACTGTTGGATGCGCAACTACCACCGTCAGAGAAAAGAAGGTCCACGCAAGATTTCGGACAACAAACGAACGCTACGGACGACATCGTTGCGGAACCCGCAACAAAACAACAACGCACCACACCACCTCCACGACTTCCGTCAACATCGACGTCAAGTTCACGACCACTACCGGATAGTCCGATGGCTACTTCACCAACCGGACGACAACATCCACCACTACCAGCACCACCTCGACAAACACTACGACGTTTAACTCCGGAAGAAGTAATGCAACCCACTAAAGCACAGAAGACCTCAAAGGACACTACAATCAGATCAACGGAGCAAGCAACCAAAGAACCACCACCACTACGACAGAAAATTAACGCAGTGACACTTCCAAACGGCAAATTCATCACACCCTACACAAACGACGACACCTCAGAAGACCAACCCATAATCTTCGACAACGAAGGTTACGACGAAACACAACTACTGGAAGGAATGAAACACGAGTCAAATCAAATGAAGCTACATGACGTCTACGACGAAGTAGATGCGTCTACCGTCGACGACAACGTCATAAGAGAAGCGATACCTACAAGATGGGTACACAGAAAGAAAGGACCAGGAGTACGAAGCCGAATCGTCGCAAAAGGCTACACCGAGAAAATCGAGGACGAAGACTCCGTCTACGCTTCTACGCCAATGTTCACGACACTCCGGACACTTCTCGCACTACAAATGTCACGACCAAACTGGATAGCGCGACTAGGCGACGTCTCTACAGCATTTCTACACGCACCCATCGCAAAAGACCACGACGGTAAACAACGTGACGTCTACCTTTGGCCACCTAAAGAACTTTGTCCACAACAGGACAAAATCTGGCGACTAAAGAAAGCCATGTATGGACTACGCAGTTCACCGAAAGCATGGCAGGACTACCTGGCTGAAGTTCTACAAAAGCTCAGCTTTGTAAGACTAAAGTCAGAACCTAACGTCTACACCAATGCAACTCGCGACTGCTACATCATGGTCTACGTGGATGATCTCTTGGTACTTGGTGACAAGACTACTGTCGACTCCAACTTCGAGGCCATCCAGAAGCAGGTCCTACTCAAGCACATCGGCTACCTCGAGCCTGGCAAACCACAACAATTTCTTGGAAGAAACATCGACCACTTTGGCAACTACTGCAACTTGGGACTAAAGGACTCCTACATCGACAACATGATCGAGGAGTCTGGAATGAACAACTGCAACCCAGTGAACACTCCAGGAATTGCACACTACAAACCGACAATAGAAGATGAAGCAACTTGACCACGAACAACACAAAAGGTACAGAAGGATTGTTGGCAAACTACAATGGTTAGCATACACACGACCAGACATAGCATACTCCACAGAAGAACTAGCACGAGACCTCACAGCACCTACAGAACTTTCACAAAAGAGAGTCAAACATCTACTACGCTACTTGCACGGCACCAAGCACTACAAATTCACCATAGAAGCAACAACAACACTCAGAGCAAACACTAACAACATCCTGGATCTCGACGTTCATGTCGATGCCGACTGGGCAGGATGCCCTACTACCAGGAAATCAACTTCAGGTTTCAACATCATCTTTTTAGGAACAACAGTTGCATTTGGCAGCAGAACACAAGCTACAATAGCACTCAGCTCAGCAGAGTCTGAACTCTACGCCATTTGCACAGGAGTTAATGAGGGACTACACCTCAGAAACTTCCTACTTGAAACCAACATTTGCAGCAAGCTAAATCTACGCATCCACACAGACTCCACAGCAGGCAAGAGCATTGCTACACGACAAGGCACTAGCAAACGAGCAAAACACATCGACCTTAAATTTCTCTACACACAAGACCTCATCAAGCACGACATCATCAGAATCCTCAAAATCAACACACTACACAACAGCTCAGACTTGTTCACAAAATACATTAGCAAAGAAACACTACAGAGGCTCATACAGAGCATTGGCATACGTGTTTAGCACTACGAACAACAACTGTTTCACAACTGTTGCACATTAATCACAACAGTTTGTATATGGCCATATGTAACTACCTGCATGTAAGTAACAGTAACAGTAACAGTGACTACAAGTAATAGTAATTGTAACCACCAGTAATTTGCACTTGCACTTTTGGCGGCTTGTGGCGGCTTGAGACAACACTACATGTTGTTTTGTTTTATTACATTCCCGCATGTGTTTTTGTGAGCTACCATTTGGCTCACTACTTTGCCCCGTCTCACTTCGTTTGTTCGGTCGCACTACCAGCAATGTCTGGACCCATGGATGTGACTACGATCGCGCCTGAGACTACTGTGCCAGCACAGGAGATTGGCACTACAACACCGGATCGAGTTGCTACACCAACCAATCGACCTTCCACTACCGACTCCGGTAGCATGGCTACTTTGGCCACTCCACCACCTGAGGCCTACAGTGCCCTCAACTACCACTTCAACCACCAACTACCAACCAATGCACCATTCTACAGGCCCGACGACATCCTGAACCACCTCACTACTGTCGAGTACGACAGCATTCACACTCCAACTGTGGATCAGGGACGAAACTACATCGAGGTCTACGTGGGGCTGACGTTGGAGGAGTACCAACTACTCAGCCAACAACAAACTACACCAATGCCAGACCTCGACTACCAACTACCCATCCACAACTTGCCATCAGACCTACGAATGCCCCTCTACGATTCACTACCACTCAGCCTACGCTTTTCAGAAGCATTCAACTTCTACTACTACCACTTGACTTCACTACATCTCACAACATCGCACACCAACTCCATGGTCATTGCTCGACTCCACCTTCCTCAAGAAATTTTGATACACTACATCAGTGGCGGACACCTCATCAACTTTTCTCGTGACTACTTGAGTCACATGGTGTCAGTCATCGGCCAACATCACCTACCTACTCGGCAACTACCTCAACGACTTCACAAGATCAACTACGACATGGACCAGATCACCAACACCTTCAACCTGTCCAACAACAACATCTGGAATTATCACATGCCTCTTCACCTTCCTGAACTACTCAGCTACTACGACCAACCACAACAACTACAGGATCACCACTACAAAGCAATCAACACCATCATGCACAAGAGTTCCACATACTACGGATTCACACTCCTCACTGCAACAAGTCTTCCCATGCAACACAAGCTACTACTGCACAAACTCCTCACTACATTTCAACAACCACTTCCACCTCCAGAGATCAACTACTCTTGTCTTCGAGGAGGCCCTGACTTCCTCACTACCTTCACCACCAACCACTACGCCAGCCTTGACCACCGCATTGGTCAGCAACAAGGCTACAGAGTCCAACATTGGACTAAGCACACCTAACTACAGGTGATGCTACAACTTAGGACTTCCAGGTCCAAACTACATCGGGATGTATCTCATGAACTCCACTCAGTACCACTACTGAGGCCTGAACAGGAGAGCTACTGAGATCAGCCTGTACATACTACAATTTCTTTTGATCTTTGAGAGTCAGTGGACTACAGCCAGCAGAGTTGTAGTTATACTACTTTCGATCTTTTTTGCAGTCAAAACTACTTTGAGCTCTTTGCACTTTTCCCCTTTCTTCATATGGTTGAAAAGACACTACAGGGTCTTTTAACCAAGGGGCCGTGTCAAATACCATGCTGTACTACTTGTCCTTTGTACATGCATGATGTTCACTACTCGACCGCAGGCCTTGAGTCTACAAGCAAAAGAGCGCATGCTGGGAAACTACATTTGTGTTTGTGACAACAGAAACAACACTTGCACTTGTAGTAAAGTATCGACTAATTTTAACGAGAGAGAGAGAGAGAGAGAGAGAGAGAGAGAGAGAAAAAAAAAACAAAAACGCCGATTCAACCACACGTTGGCGCAGCAAAGAGAGAGGGAAAAAGCCGGAGCAGCGTTTTTGATTCCAAGCTCCCCCCAAAGCCTCGCGCCTCTCCGGGACTTTTTCTCGGGGCCCCCGGCGCGGCACGGGATAGGCGCGCACCCGCTCGGGGCCTGACGCTCTGACGCTCCGAAGGGGGACGCACCTTGGGACCGTTCCAAGAGACCTGGGAACAGGGTCTGACTCTGACTCTGATCTTGGTAACTGACACTGAGTCTACTGGTAAGAAGTCTTGTAACATAGATAGTCATGATAATATGTATCTTTTGAGTGTAAGCCAAAAGGTGTAGGGAACTATGCCATGCCTTGTGTGTCAAAAAATAGTATCTTTTGAGACTCTGACTGAAGCAACACTTCAGACGTGCTCAACAAACATGCCGACACTTCCAAGCGCACAGTTGGGGGTAAGATGGAGGCAGTATGAAATGGCTTTTTGCACCCCCCCCCCTTCTTTTAAACCCTCCCCCTTGTTTCATGTTCTTTTCTTTGTCAACCCCCCTACAGCGACTGCAAAGAGCCGATCAACCTGCAACACCAACTCCCAAAATAGAAAGACTTGCATCTTTCTTTACCGTCACTCATGCTGTGACCCACGGACAATACTTCTTGCTGTTCAATAGGACATGGACAAATGGACACATCGGGTTGTCTCCCTCCCCCTCCATGTTTTTGTGGGACATTTGGGGTTGGCCCCCGTCTACAAGCTTCTTGCCAGTGGTCACCGGATGTAAAGGACCCTTTTGATCACGATGGGATGTGTGTCTTTCTTGGAGTTGGTACCCGGTTTGACCTTTTTGGAGGGGGAGTTGATCTCAATCTTCCTAATTTGGGAGCCCCCGTTTTAAACATGGCTCACTTTTCAAGCGAGTGAAACTCAAATGTTGGTAGTGACGACCGGACCTTTTGATCCATGGAGGAAACAAAAAGACGCTGTGAGGCCATGAGCCATATGACTAAACGAAGGCTGGCATCAGGCGCGGAGATCCGCCCTTATTGCTGACCTATTTGGCCATGGGTCAAAATCCAAAACCCGGAAACCCCCAGTGAACGGGACCCAATCCCCACCACTACAATAGGCTCTAAAACGGGTGGTGCACTTAAAAAAGGTTCCGAAACTGGGAGATGAATTCACCAATCCCCACCAAAATGGGATCCCAAACTGTTGACACACGCACCGCCCTTCTTTTTGGATGGCCATCGGGCTTCGGCCTGCTCCGCTGCCACTGCTCCAGTAGCCCCCCAGGCCTGGGCGCCCGGGCTGTCGAAATGGGTGGCTTCTGAGCACCCATAAAAAAGAAGCTCAGTGAGCGCTTTGCTCAAGGGATCTCAAACAAAAACTCAAAGGTTTTTTTCTTCCCCTGGGATCCTCAAGATCATCCCAAGGCAGAGAACTCGCCTCAAAAAGGGACCAAACCTCCTCTGCTAGCGGAGGACTGGCCTCAAAACGGACCAAGCCCGGCTTTGCATGTCCTCCGGGTTCTTTGCTGGACAAACACCTGGTTGGTGGTTGGCGTCATCTTAGAGCTCCAGCCTGAAACCCCTCCGGTTGTCAATGCTTCAACACAAGATGCCCATCAGGCAGCGTCTTGGTGAATTCTTGCACTCACCAGGTGCCTGGTTGGGAATGAACCATCGGTCTTTTGAGCTACTTGAGGGTCTATTTAAGGTGCTTCTGAACTGTTTCTGAAACAATATCCGCCGACAACAGGCGGCGTGTTGGACATAAGAAATGCTCCTTACCTCTTTACCTGTTACCCCTCCCCTAACCCCTCCCCAGTGATTCGAAGACGCTTCACTAAATCTGTTCATTGTGCGGGCTTGCGCAACTCAGTTTGTCAAAAACATTGGGGTGTTCGATTCCCCCCGGGTGCGCTTTCGCATCCTCAGCAGCTCCAGCGGCACATCGCCAGCATCACCTGCATCATCCGCATCATCGCCTGCCAAGGATGCGGATGATGCAAGTGATGCTGGGGATGTTGCCTATGCTGGTGAAGGAAATGAAGGGGGGAAGGGGGAAAGGATCTCAACAAGCGAAAGGGGGGGAAAGATCTCAGGGAGGAAAGGGAGAAGATCTGGGGAAAAAATGCCTTGAGGGGGAAAGGGGGGAAAAGATCTTTGGGAGGAAAAGGGAAATCTTTCTCGGGGGGAACAGGCCCTAAGGGGCAATCGGGGGACAGGATCCCAATCGGGAAAGAGAGAAAAAAAATTGGGAAGAGAAGGGGAAACGGGGGCAAGGATCTTAAGCGGGAAAGGGGGGAAGAGATCTTAGGGAGGCAAAGGGAGACGAACTCAGGGAAAAGGACTTAGGGAGGAAAGGGGGGGAAAGATCTTTGGGAGGAAAAGGGAGAAGAACTGAGGGTGGGAAAAGGCCTTAGAAGGAAAAGGGGAACTGGGGGGGGGGGGAAAGATCTTAGGGAGGAAAGGCAGAAGATCTGGGGCAAAAAGGCCTTAGGGGGGAAAGGGGAGAAATGATCTCAACAGGGCAAGGGGTGGAAAAGATCTTCGGGAGGAAAGGGAGAAGATCTGGGGAAAAAAGGCCAACAGGGAAAGGGGGGAAAAGATCTTAGGAAGGAAAAGCGAGAAGCTCTCAGGGGGGGAAAGGCCTTGGGAGGGAAAGGGGGGAAAGGATCTCAACAGGGAAAGGGTGGGAAAGATCTTAGGGAGGAAAGGGGGGGGGGGAAGATCTTAGGGAGGAAAGGGAGAAGATCTGGGAGAAAAGGACTTAGGGGGGAAAGCCCAACAGGGAAAGGGGGGAAAAGATTTAGGAAGGAAAAGGGAGAAGCTCTCAGGGGGGGGAAAGGCCTTAGGGGGGAAAGGGGGAAAAGGATCTCAGCAGGGAAAGGGGGGGGGGGAAGATCTTAGGGAGGAAAGGGAGAAGATCTGGGGACAAAGGCCTTAGGGGGGAAAGGGGAGAAATGATCTCAACAGGGAAAGGGGTGGAAAAGATCTTAGGGCGGAAAGGGAGAAGATCTGGGAGAAAAAATGCCAACAGGGAAAGGGGGGAAAGACCTAAGGAAGGAAAAGGGAGAAGCTCTCAGGGGGGGGGAAAGGCCTGAGGGGGGAAAGGGTGGGAAGGATCTCAACAGGGAAAGGGGGGAAACAATCTTAGGAAGGAAAGGGAGAAGATCTGGAAAGGCCTTAAAGGGAAGGGGGGAAAGGATCTCAACAGGGAAAGGGGGCAAAGGTTCTTAAGGAGGAATAGGAAGAAGATCTCAGCGGGGGGAAAGGCCGTAGGGGGGAAAGAGGGGAAAGGATCTCAACAGGGAAAGGGGGGGAAAGATCTCAGTGAAAAAGGGAGAAGGTCCCAGGCAGGGAAAAGGCCTTAGGGGGGAAAGGGGGAAAGGATCTCAACAGGGACACTAGGGCGGAAAGGGGGAATGGATCTCAACAAAGAAAGGGGGGCAAAAATCTCAGAGGGGAAGGGGGCAAGGGGACAATTCCAAAGGGACGCAAATAAGAAAGCAGGCCTGTAATGTCGGCGGCCTGAGCCGGAGGCACTAAAATTCAATAAAGGGCCACGTTAGACGCCGTTGAGCTCTTCTCTGAATGGATCTTTGCTGCTGCTTTCCCAAAGTAGTACGCACAATAGACTAAGCATTCATGTGGCATCTGTCTTGGATGCATTTTGACGCGGTTCTTGAAGCGATGCTTGGTGGCAACTCAGTCGGCGCGGCACCCGACAGGTTAACGAAGTAAGACTCTGCTTTTCATCCATCAACAGAATGCAAACAAACACACAGGGGCAACTGAGTATTCGTGTTTCAAGGTTCTTGGGTGCAAACAACATCTAAGTGTCCACGGCACCGGGAGGTTCTCACATGGCAAAGACCAGGTGCTTGCAGTTGCCACTGTAACTGTCCTTACCTCCAGGTTTTAACCATGTTGGCTTTCCCAGGTTTACCTGCGGCAACTGGAAAACGGTGTGTGTGTGTGTGTGTGTGTGTGTGTGTGTGTGTGTGTGTGTGTGTGTGTGTGTGTGTGTGTGTGTGTGTGTCTGTGTGTGTGTGTGTGTGTGTGTGTGTGTGTGTGTGTGTGTGTGTGTGTTTGTGTGCATTGCCCTCAAGAGACGACATTGGAAACTGGGGTATTTGTGTTCGCACACATGTGACCATGGACACGTAGAGTTTTCTTTTGAAGATAAAAAACCTTAACATCGCAAACACTCAGCTGCCCCTTTCTGGGATGTTCAAAACGGAGGCTTGGAAAATCCTAATCCATAATCCCTTCAGGAAAGCAACTACAAAGGGGACCGAGCTTTCCCAATCCTCGGGTGACCCTTTTTTGGTACGCCAAACCAGGCCGATCCGATGAGATCCGAAGTCGCTTCACTCCCGCCTCGCACAGGCGTCTGCGGATCTCGGCCAGGGCTGAGCCCTGGCACGAGTTTAGCTCATTTTTTTGGAAGCTTTCAAAATAGCAAAGCGGCTTTGAACCTTGGTCCGTAGACACAGGGTCCTTCTCCAAAGGAAGCCCCCAATGACATGTTTCTCAAGCTTGGAGACCTTCAGCTCGGCGGTTTCGTGTGGGTTCTCTGTTTGCCCTGCAATATCGTGTGGGCATTTCCAGTTGGATCGGCCTTGGTAGAGCTGCGGCGACGGCAGGCCAGTTCCAGCCACCACAACTGGCGGACCGTTCCGAGCAAATGGCCGGGTGAATCGAGCGAGTCCCATCGCGCCGCCAGGTTTGACCCTGCATATCTTTCCCGGTGAGGGAACATCAGATCTTGTGGGCATTTTTTGGTACTCATTCCACGGATCTCTTTTGATCTGCCTGAAAAGGAGCCTTGAAAAGTACTTCTTTGGCAGCGCCACTGGACCCGGATAGCTTCTTCCCAAGGCGGACCTTGCACAGTGAGGTCGGAGTCAAGGTCTGTACACATTGATCGACAGTGGTGCCCTTGGAGCCCTCAAGATTTCTTGGGATGTCCCATGGAACCACCATTTCTTGTTTCAACTTTGCGCCGACAAATTGACCCGCCATTTGACCTTGTTTCAACTTGGCTTGGACACGTCTTGGTCAGAGTCACCTAGCAACAAGTTGCCATCTCTTCCCACTGACATATTTTTCCTTCTTGTTTTTGCATTTGGGTTGTCCTGCCAGCTTGGCTTTGTCTCTTGGATTTGGCGGGCTATTGGCCAAATGCAGGTTGCCCACCATATCTGCTTCGCAAACCCCGGTGACGTTCGGCACCTTTCAAACCCAAAGAATGGAACCACAATTTTGCCGACCTGACGTGTGTCTAAACTTCCCAGAATTAGCTCTTTTTCTTACTGTTTTGCTTTTTTGGGGTTCCCTTTGTTTTCCACTAACCAGGCAAAAACACAAAAATGCTGGGGTCCTAATTCCAGCCAAGTAAAGCTTGTTTGTTTTTGTTGGCCAAGGGCTGCATCACCTCCCTCAAGGCACTGACGAACATTCGCCGGGCGAAGAACTTCGACCCCCGCCTAGCCATTAGAGGCGCCAAGTCTCATGGAAAAAGAGGGCCCATGTTTACACCATGCACATGCCTGGAAGGGTTGGCACTCACGCCTTGCCTTTTGGACAGCCCAGAAGACGAAATAAGCACGAAAGCCACTTCCCAGAAACGAATCGAGCCCTTGACAGGGGTCATTTCAGCGCCCCTCAGTCAAATGCAGGATGCGAATGGATCATTTCCGTGAGTCGCAAAAAGCTGAACAAGAAACCTTGGGTCAACAAACTATACCACACCTGCGCTTTATAATCCCAAATTTGCTCACAACAGCTCAAGTCCTCAGAATCTATGTTCAACCGAGAATTTAGTAGCCTCTCGAAACTCTTCATCCCGGCGCGTTGCGCGAACGTCACACGGGACACAGGAGACCCAATGCCCCAGGAAATTCAAGGCAGATGAATACAGGGTTTCCAAGCCATTTCCCCTTTTGGAACTTGCAGTGGTGACCGTTTCAATGGAAACCACCTGTAGATTATAACTTTTGAAGGGGAAGTCTCATGTAGATGGGGAGCCTGTGCCGGCGGGAACTCTTGGCGCTTTTCCGGGTACAATGTTGCCACTGTCTCTGTGAATGTGACAACATCCGACTGTTTGGGGATTAACCTTGATGCAAACAGGGAACCGCCCTCCATAAACGAAAAACAAACAGGAACGCGACTCGGCAGCCTTTTTTTCCCCCTATATTTCAGGCCGAGATCTAAGTCCTAAACCTGCCAAGCTTGGACCACAGATCAAAGATTTCTGAATTTGTCTTGGGCCCCAACCTTTACCGTGATCTCTTCAACAAGAGTCTTCAAAGGGTGCCTCAAACGTAGAAGGGTGGAACGAAGCACATTGCCTATAAGTTGGGCGGTGCATCCTGGCAGCGCCCAGTTGTGGTTGGGATTAACCTTCATTTGCCTGGGTTTTGATTGTGGCAATGTGTTTCCAAAACACCCCTCGCTCATTGTGCTGATCTATACCCAGTGACTTTCGGATGCTTCTTGGCTTACTTCCGAAGAACCGGAGCAAAACTCACCGGACTCTTTGTTTTGACCACCACGATTTTCCAAAAAAAGCGATGAATGAAAGAGGCACTGGTTGGGCGTGGAGGCGCCCTCACGACTGAACCCATGAACGGAATTGACATTTCTGGCTTGCCCAATTTCCGTTTGCGCAAAGGGAACAACGGTTGGCCTCTTGACTCTTTTTGAGCCTACCCTTTTGGCGAACGGTTTGAAGGGAAATCACCGGGCCTTTGGGGGGGTCTGATTCCTAGCCCGAAGGACTTTCCAAGCTCGGGACTTAGATGGTTGGGCCAATGCTTGACTCCCAATGTCCCTCCAGTTGGCCTGGGGCGGTTGGCACCATCCTGCGGCAACGAGAGAAACCAACAACGTCAGCGACCGTGCTTCTGATCGGAAAATGGAAATGGGGTGGGTGGGTTGGGGTGGGTAGGGTTGGGCAGGTCCTAAATTTCCAACACCACCTGGTATGTAGTATAGCTGCTCAAAATACGTGGGTGATACCCGAATGGCCGTTACAATTTACATTCACTTCGTGTTAAACCCACTTAGAAAGCAGGTCCAGGTTGTAACTGTAAGACCTGGAAGTAGCGGCATGAACTTCAACTGACCAGCCGCGTAGGCGAGCAAAATCCTTGCTATGAAGAAATCCGAATCAAAAGGTTAGCAGTGAAGATCAGCAACCAGTAGGATCCCAAAGACCTCAAATATCAGTTCCAAAATGAACCCAAAAGATCGAATAGGGTCTTGGGAGCCTCCTCAAACTCTCAAAGGGATCCACTTTAACTATCTGCAAGGATTGATACCAAGCTGTGCCAATTGGAATGCGACAACAATTCTCGGGGCGCCACCTTTCCACGGTCTGAATCTTCTAACGTGTTGATACAAAGATCCGCGCCGGCCATTCTTGGAAATCCGGGTCTCCCCAAACCCAGGACCAAAAAAAACAGTGCCTCCATGAGAGTCTTTCCTTAAACCCAGAACAACAAAGGACAAGAAGACGGAAACATGGATCAGACCCCGGTGGATTCAAGAGAGCCGCTCAGCCTAAGATCCCTTGGGTCCTGGGCATCGGCCCGTCGCCTGCCCAAAAAAAACGGGCGAAACGGCGAAAGGCCCCTGAAATCCGAAGGGGCTTCCCATGTTTTGCCTTGAGCCACGGATGGGGCAGGCCATGCGTCCAAATACCCCACTGGGAGTTGCCGGTTGTGTTTCCAGCAGGTCCAAAGGTCCGGAAAATGCAGGCCCAAACTGGGGGCTCCCGGAGGTGTGTGTGGAACAAGTGCATCTTAAGAACCATGATTTGTGGGCTCCCCTAAAGAAAAACACCCCCGGTAAGAAGTCTTGATGCGTTGCGATCTAGGCGGCTTGCTTCGCAAGCCAAAAGGTTACCTGCTGCACAAGGGGTTGCCCATTTCGAGAGACATTCCTCGCATTATTTCCAGGTGTTCAGAAGCGCAGTGACCGAAGACTCAATTGTGTCTGGTTGAGGGTTCTGGACCCAGGCGAATCTACTTGTAAGTGGCTCATGAGTGACCCGGGTTTCCCAGCCAGGACGAGCCACTTGTGGAAAAAGCCAGGGATACAAACCAAGTATTTCATCACCCCTTCAAGTAGTACCCACCAAAAGCCTTCGGCCATGTTGCACCCGTAAGTGGTGCGCCCTTGCGTGGCAACTGGTTACCATTCCCAGGTCTGCACAAATGGGTGATTCTTCTTTGAACTTGACCACCATTGGTTGCTAAATGTGTGCAGTGTTGACACACATCCAAATCGCCATTTCAAGCCTTTACATTATCTGGGGAAATACGGGATTCTCTTCTCCACCAGCCGATAAGGATCCGTAACGCATTTCAAACCAAAACCTCAGGGGCCGTTCTAATTTGCCAACAGAGGGTTGCTCAACATGGAGGTGGACCTCTTGTGGTTCAGCCGTACAACCCCCCTGCACACTTCTATCGTTCAAAGGGAAATCAACAGCAAACCCACCCGTTTTCGAGGACCGGTTCCCGTTGTGAGAACTCACACCCAATTTGTGGATTTCGTCCGGCCGGCGCGGCCTGGGTCTTCGCTGATGCCGTGCAAGTGCTCAGCGAAGGGATGCAGTGAGAGAGGCAGCCCAATGGACGGGAGCCAACAAACAACCAAATGAACGCGGATGGTTTGTCCTGAATGCAGGGCCAATGCAGGGTACCCCTTTTTTGGACGGGTTTTGTGGGAATCTCAAGGAAAACCACAACATGGGGATCCATATTTTGAGACAAACACCCAAACCTGAACAGGCCACATGGAAATGTGCACATGACTCTGACTCTCTTTGTTGGGCCATGTGTCGATAAGCCTGAGACTCGTCTTGGGATCGTTTAGATGGAACAAACCCACCTCTTGCCCCCCGTGGAACATTCCCCAGCTTGGACTCCCGGCCCGCCGACTAGTGGATGATGGTGAAAGCGTCGCTTCAAACAGGGTGACTGGTGGACAGGGCGCACGGGTCCAATAAACAGCTTTCCGAACGTGTTAAAACTCTCCGAACGGCAGTTGGCGCCGCTTGACCCCCTCCTGGCAGAAGTTCTAAGATTTGACTCCATGGCATAACCCTTCCTGCGTGTGGCTACTTGATCACTTGTGTCAAGGAATTTATGTCTGCAGTGTGGGTCTGTCTTTTGAGCGTATTCTTGTTTTGAGGCTCTAGAGGGACCCACAAGGAAAACCGAAATCCATTTTGGGGGTCCCCCACAACAAACACGCCCGTGATTGGATTTAAATGGAGAATCTGTTTGTTTGCTCATTGCTTTACTTCCTGACTCCTTCCAGGAATTCTTCTGTCTGCATCGAAGCGCGAAGTAGCATTGGGATCTTTCAACAATTTTTGGGTTGGGCTGTCTGAGAACAGGGAAGGCCTCAAACTTTTTGGTTTCCTTTTGGTTTCCCTAAGACAAAGAAGGGGCTCCCCAAAAAACAATGACACCCATCTGGACCACTGGCGGAAGCACGACTTAGGCAGCTGACCAACTTCTCGATGTTGGTCTTGATGGTGTGGTAGTCCTGCCATGTCTCCATTGTGTGGGGGCTTTACCAAGGGAAAGCAACAGATATAAGGATGGAAGAATGGGTCTGACTTGATTGCTGGACCCTTCTGAAATGAGCCACTAACATGTCGGCGGCTACAAAGGACGTGGATCCATGAGTGAGTGTGGCGAATGGCCCCGACCATAGACCACAGGATACTCTACGCGAGGTTTGATGTCCACGAACCCAGACCCTAGAACACAGGAACCATGTATGTTTCAAGGGTTCCCGGTTCTCTATCAGCTTGGATGCTCTAACAGTTCCAGTACCCAACAGGATATCAAGTCAGACCCAGAGTTGTGGGGCAAAAACCTGTGATACCACGTCGCTCACATCCTCTTCACCAAAAAACTATTACTTTCAGGTTCTGTTTGACATCATGTAGGTGGGGATTTGTGTCTGCACCCCCTGCAAAGGGGCCGTACAAGACATCCTCAGCTGCAAGGCTAGCAAGTGAAGTGGGACTGGAGATGGGTAAAGCCAAGATCCACAGACATCACTGTACCTGTGAAACACAAAAGGAACAAAACATTCCTGTTGGGTAAGCAAAACTAAACACAGTCAGAAAATCGCACCAGCATGTGGTCAAAAAGCAGTTCCCGTGACCCCCTGCCGAAAATGCCAGTCGTCGCTAGTTCTCGCGGACTCAGAAACTCTCTCTGGGCACCGGGGCTCGAGTTTGCAACTTCCCTCATGTTCAGAGGTTTGCTGGGGCTACTCCCATAGTGGGCAGCTGGTTCTGGGTTTTCGATTGGACATTTCCCAACACCTCTTTTCAGGCTTTTAAGACCCAAGGATCGCCTTTCGGCCATCATTTTAAGGCAGGGGCCCAACCAGCGGCCGTCGTATGGCCCACGGTCTGAATATGGCCCAGTGAGTTTTTATTCGGGGATCCGCCTGTCCTCACTGGGAAAAGTATGTGGCACCCCTTGCACCTATGAAGCACCCGTCGTCAGCGTCAAGCTTGGACACCAGAGAAGCGTCCCGGTGAGAAGGAAGGTGGGTTTGGGGCCTCTCCGTTGCTTCCTTTTCGTGGGTCTTCCCGCCAGCACCTAAGCTTTCGCAGGTTCCATAGGAAAGCCATAGGCTTCAAGATCTTAGAAGCTCCCAACCCCATTGGCCACCAACCCCAAGATTCCATCGTGGTTCAAATCGGGGGACCCCTGGATTGGTTTTCCAACTTTGGTTCAGGCCAGCCATGGGCAGCACGTTGCAACATGAAACCAGGAGACCCAGGGGGAAACTAGCAGCTTCAGGATTGGGGGCCCTTGACCAATGGGTTATATCCTTTCCTTAGAGGACCCCCCCAAAACCGAACACGTACACACCCACATCAAATAAATTGGGCGGGTTGCCTTTTGAACTTCCCTTTAAAAACCGCAAGAAAACAGATACCGACTCCGAGAAAGGGGACATGTTTCCTCTCGACTTTCCGACAAACTGAAGCAATCGCTTGCCTTGGAGTCACGGTTCAGGTCCATGGCCTCAATCCGGTTCCAATGAGTCACTTGCTCACAACCGATTCGGTACGAAAAAATGGTCCTCCCAGAGCCATGCTTCAAGAACTAAGAAGGCGGCTATCCGCTATTTGTGGTTGGGATCGTCCCTTAACCTTCACTTACCCGAATCGGATTTGATGGCTGAAGTCACCCAAGGGAAGCTCGGGAGCCACAGGGGAGAAGCCCTCAAGAGAAAAAAACAACTGCGAAGTGTCTGGGGGTTAAAGCTCGGCCGAGACCATATGACTCTGGATTGGCTTCACTCAGTGACTACGGTTCGAACTTCTTTTGGGGGACCACAATTCTCTGGGGCGTTCTGCTATCTTCTGGTTCCTCTTTGAACACCATGCAAGGCGGGGTCGTGTACTTGCAGGACCTCCCTGATATGTTTCTTTTGGACACCTGTATCAATGCGCTTACGTCCAACCTGCCCCTCCCTGCCGCTGTGCTTGTTCAATTAAGCCCAACTTCGGCTTCTCTTGGGTTAGGAAACCAGCTTCCCGGCCCCAAAGTCGAGTGAGCCAAAACAACTGCTATGAATGAAGACCAAAACTGATCAAACAAGCAAAACACACATACTTACTTCCATTTGCTTAAGCCCCCTGGAAAAAAAGATAATATGTCCAGTAGTGATAGATTTCCTTGAAAAAACCAACAGGGGAAATAAAAAGTAGTTTCTACAAATGGAAGCTTCCAGTAAAGTCATGGGTGCAGCCAGGCCGTAGATTTCCTGACAATCGTTTCGAGGCAAATCTGTGGCCGTGACGCCAAAGAAAGCACCAAACGGCCCACAGCCATCTGCGCCACATCCCGACTTTCAGGGAAAATGGGATATACCACGGCAGCAACAGCTAAGATACCCTGGCGTTTTCCTTCTTGGACAGCTAAAGGGGGGGGGAAACCGGACCCTTTGAAGAGGGTTTTGCTGCCGCGCGGCGAAGCCAGGTAGACCATTCTAAGCCCAGGGTACTGGAAGTATTCTTTGTTGGCACAGGGGACTTCAGTCGGGACTCACCTGTTCTACCGAAAACAAGCAAGTTTCAGGGCTAGACGTGGTTTGAGCGTGTCCATGCCACTAAAATCCCCAAGCCCACTACGCCGCATGTACTCGGCGCAGTGGTTTGGGGGCGTGGGTGCGAACGGTGGACAAATCAGGAAGCAAGTTGCCGATCCCGCATCTTTTGACTTATGTCCCTTTGGGTAAACTAAACCCCGGGCTATTTAGCACCTTAAGCCAAGAGGAGACTCAGGTCGCCCGGGCAATGTTGAAGTGGAAGAGCGCCTTCCTGTCCTTCTGCAACTTCATGTAGACCTCGCGTTGCCCAAGCCGATGGACGAGATTCAGCACCATTTGGGATGGCATGAATCGTGAGCTAAATCCCCCAGCGAGTTGCGGCATCAGCATGGGCGAACCACTAAGTAAGTAATTGTGAGCAAAACCCTCTGAATTGTGGGATTAACATGGGTGAAGCACTAAGTGGTGCAGGAATTTGTCCAGCCACAGCATGCCCGAAACATCACACTGGCCCTGGTGATGCCACCCAGAGCGGACGACACACAACAACAAATACAGTGACAGCATATCCTTGATTTACTAGTGTCTCATTAGCATTACCATCCTATGTCTATTTTACAACTTTGAGATTTGGAGTGCTAACCAATAGATGCTTAAGAGCTGAATGACATTAAGGAATGGGGCCATGATCACCTCTCCATCACGTATCTCTTTTCCCAGCTGCCATTCTTGGGAGTTTAGAACAGTGGATGATTCGTGAGTGAAAGAGCTGGGAAAAGACATAATAGCTCCCTCTCCCTGTCTCTCTCGTACATCAGGTCTACCCCGGTAGGGATAGGAATGGGAACACACGCAACGGCGAAGAGATGTAATAGACGAGAGACGGAACGGGTCGCGGGAGGTGAATGACTAAGCGCGCGGCTGTAAAGGCCTATAGCCAGTTCCAAAACGTTGTGGTTTCAACGATGCTGACCCGTTTCGTGCGGACATTTCCCGGAAATGTCAATAGGGTTCAACCCCCATTCCAAAGAATTGCCACCCCAATCTGGATGACAATCCTTAGGCAAAGGAAGGTGGCCACTGACCCTCGCGGGCTGGGGGTTGGGTTGCCTCAGAGTCTCAGAGCGCACCGAAAGCCGAGTTCGCCGAGTTCGCCGAGTTCGCCGTCGGTCAGAGTCGCCTTGCCCAGCTGGAAGTGCACGGAGGCCTCCTTGGGCGCCAAGCACCGCACCTGAGGCTCGGATCCGATCCGGACGCATCGGGTTGGTTGGGGCGCCAAGTGGATCCGCGAGTGGCTGGGGTTGGGCCAAGAGGGGGTGAGCATCTTAGGCTAGGTTGGCTCAGTTTGGGTCTGATTTGGTTGGATTGGGCTTTGGGGTTGTGCCATTTCCAGGCAAGGATGGTTCCATGAAATTGCGCAAGTGTTGGATGATTCTCCCCTTGGTGTCCCTAGAAAACAAGAGTCTGATTGAACCACATCTTGCACCCTTACCATAGCCGCCTTTGTCCATCGCAGGGACATGGTCGCAAGCAATTGACCCTCTGAGGAAACAACCATGGATGCCCAGGTTTTTTTTGTTTTGGCTTCCCTTTCAACTAACCCAAAAGAGGCACCTTTCACCGATCCCATTTGGGCTCCCATTTTGTGGGAACCCTCTTTTGCCCTCTTTTGCTAGAGGAACGGAAACAACTTTACATTTGCTAAAGCCGTCGTCTCCCCCAAAAGTGATTAAACTTGTTGGTGCTTGCTAGAGAATGAGGGAATGAGCCCAGGGTTCCTCTTAAAGGACACCACCAGCTGGATGGTTTATAGACGGCGGCTCCATTTTTCATTCCCGATCGCACCAGCAAGTAAAGTCCGCAACTTGCTGCGATAGGTAGGAAAGGCCGTGGAACTCAGGCAGCGAGCAATGGACAAAGGCCCGCAAGGCTCGCGAAGCTCGCGAAGCTCGCGGCTCGCGCGGGGCTTGCGCGCCTTTTTGAGGTCGGCGAGGGCTTCCTCGTAGCGCTCCAGGCTGAAGAGCACGCAGGCCTTCTGGAAGTACCTCGCACAGGCAGCACCAAGGAGGGGTTTGCCACGCTGGATGTGGGGAGTTGGTGTAAAAACTCAGAGTTGGCGGGGAAAAAAGGGGGGGTACATGTGTTGGGTGGGTTGGGTTGGGTTGGGTTGGGTTGATGGGACTTGATGAATTTGCATGGTCAACATCCGGACACGGTTGGAGTTTGAAGGGACTTGGCTGATTTCAAAAGTTTACCTGAGGATTTTGGGAAAAGGCGACTCAAATAGCTTATTCGTCCCTGGGATTCATGTGGGAAATGGGCAACCACTGAAACTTCATAGAGATTGCAATCCCTTTTTGAGGTGGCCAAGCGTTCTGGGAGACCACGTCGATTGCTTGAGCAGCTTCTTGAATTTTAAGAGAAGGGCCGTTGGAAATGTGGGAACGAATGCGAACTCAGGATCGTGGTAACACATGCTCAATGAAAATACAGTGGGGTGAAAATAGATGGCACAATTCTCTCACGTTGGCTTAGTCATCCCTGTTAGTTACCCACAAAGAGAATACCGAAAGGCCATGTACTTTCAAAGCGCTACAGGGCATCGGCGATGCTTCCTTGATATCACAGAAGTAGATTTAGAAAATCCAGCCCACTGAGTGGGTTGCAACCATGGATCCCAAATACCAAGTGCCATTCCAACCTTGACACCAAAAACTTGGGAACAGGGCGCAACTTGGCTGGAAGCAATGGAACAAGCCTTGCACCCTCGTAAGGCTGATATTTTCATGGGGAACGAACTACCTTTTGGGCAAGTTACAATTATCTACCTGCAGTATCTTTCTAGATGCAGTATAATATATGATAATGTATGATTCGCATCTACGTACATATATATATATATATATATATGTCAGAAATACACATGCACGCACGCATATATATACATATACACATATATATATATATTGCATATACACACACATACATGCTCAGAGTGTAGCAACTCCCTACTTGCATGCTCAACCAACCTAGTGAGTAGGTTGTAACGACGGTGATACCTGGTTGGTAACTGCGGTTAGTTGGCTTACCATGGTTTCCATCGTTAACCCCACCGAAGGAGGCTAATAAGTGGGCTACAACCTGGGTTTTCTCTCTAACTTGGCCGAACACCCCAAGGATCCTCTTATGATCATGACTATATATACACATACAACTACACACATACATCTGTATATATGTAAATATAGTTCACCTTTTCAGGGTGTAACGGCCGTAGCGAGTCCATATTTCACCCATTGCAGCTCCGCGCACGCCATGCCGTTCTGGGGCTCCGCCTGGGCTGCCTGACGGGTTCCAAGCCGGGGAACGGCTCGTTCGGCGCATAGCCCAAGCCGCCCGTTCCTTTAGTCCGGGGTATGCCTCAAAAGGTATCATGAGTAGACTTAGGCAACCAGTTATGGAATGTAAATTTTATGGCTTGCTCATGGAGTCACTGGGAAAAGGTAAAATGTATCCTAAGTCAATTCAGCTATGTTGGAGTGCTTGGAATGTTGGAACACCCAAAGTAGCCGGGGAATGGATAACTCAGCAACCGCGTCTTGTGAGCCACAAAGCAGTTTTCAATTTGGGTTTTAGGGGAACTTCCCAAAGTGGCTTCCTTTGGCTTCGTGAAGATCAAAAAGGACACTGACAGAGGTCATTTCATGGAACTCGACAAAATGGGAATCAAAAAATGGCTGAGCCCACCACTCAAAATTGTCTTTGACCACACTTTTCTACAACAAGGAACGCTCCCCCAGGAAAGAAACCTTCACGTTTTGTGACCGCGTTGCAACCTGGACTCCTGTCCTTTCGAGGGTCCCTAAGGAAACAGAAAGGGACCTCCTGGGAGGTTGTGTTTTCTACAAAGCCGTGTTTCTTAGTGATGCTCACTGTTCGTGTTTTTTTTTTGTCTCAGTATTCTTGTTGCGGCCTGGGCTTGACAGGATTGGGTTTTTTGGGACAGTTCCACACTTTTTTGGGGTCGGCCTCCCAAAATGCGAGACTGTCCCCAAAAAACCAATCCTGGCAAGCCCAGACCCCAAAAAAACTCGAGACTGTCCCAAAAAACTCAAAAAAACCAATCCTGCAGAGTCTTGAGCTCTTGCCCTGCCCAAGACCCCCCAGGGATTGTTTTTTTTTGTTTTTTTTGGGACAGTCTCGAGTTTTTTTGGGGTCTGGGCTTGCCAGGATTGGTTTTTTTGGGACAGTTCCACACTTTTTTGGGGTCGGCCTCCCAAATTGCGAGACTGTCCCAAAAAAACCAATCCTGGCAAGCCCAGACCCCAACAAAACTCGAGACTGTCCCAAAAAACTCAAAAAAAACAATCCTGCAGAGTCTTGAGCTCTTGCCCGGCCCAAGACCCCCAGGGATTGCTTTTTTTGGTTTTTTTGGGACAGTCTCGAGTTTTTTTGGGGTCTGGGCTTGCCAGGATTGGTTTTTTTGGGACAGTCTCGCATTTTGGGAGGCCGACCCCAAAGTCCTCTTTTAAATGGACAGCCTATTTAACCTAGATTGTTTTTACTATACTCTGTTCTGACTGAATTCCATATAATTTGTTTGCCTAAAAACATGAAAACACCTTTAAGTTTGAACTTGATCTTGTTTGAAAGACAACTAATTGACACACCTTTAAGTTTGAACTTGATCTTGTTTGAAAGACAACTAATTGACATGTGTTTGGAATCCTCTTTAAAAAGGAGACCCTATTTCAGTTCCAACAGAATTATCAATTCTACTAGAATTCTTTCCTTGTTAATGTCTACTTAATTCTCGTGAAGCAAGCATGGACAACTCCTCCTGGGACATGACATCAGCTGTCAAATATGATTTGGAACAAGAATTCTGATGAAGATCCGATTGAAGGCATCTTCGCAAAGGAAATGCTATCTAAATTCTAGTTAAAACTAGACTTGCTACTAGAATTCAGTCCTTCAGCATTTTAGTCAAATTATAATGAAAAGATTGAACATGTCATCCTGGAAAGGACACCACCTTCAAATAAAAAATTGAAAGAATAATTCTAGTCGTTTAAGCAAGGATGTTAATGTTCATTCAAAACGTGAATCGCCCTCCTGCTTTGCAAAGGCTCAGTAGTGTTGAAGCAGAATAGTCAGATGATTCATACCAATTTGGATAGTGTTCAAGCAGGGTTCCCTAATAACAAATCAAGGTTTATGACGCAGAACCAAGTTGACACACTAGTATCATTGAAAAAACTGCTTTGTAGAAAACCCAACCTCCCAGAAGGTCCCACTCTCTAAGGAAAATGGTCCTTCCATCAGGTTCTATGGCAACGAGAGGGTCTGGGTGCCAACCCTGCACCCGTGCCCGTCTTTCTTTGCGCCTGGTCCTTGAGGGAATTGGGGATGCGGACAAACTGACTGCATGTGCTGTCCCCACAGCTTCCCAGGCTTTTTTTTCAAACACGCATGGGCGGTTCAGCCAGGCATTTGGGAAGAACATGGGGACTCGGAGCCAACGGCCAAATCTTTGCGGGAAACTTCACTGGTTTCCAGGAAAACAAAAGACCATGGCTGATCTTTGAATTACATGATTTTCAGGAGAGGTCCCCGAAAAGTATTACGCTCGATGAATCAGTGGCCAGCAAAATGATCACTTTTAGATTTTCCCTGCAATTCAGACCCAGTTTCGCCAAACAGTCGAAGTCACACAGTTGGGGGGTCAAAACAAAGGTCGGTTCGCCGCTGACCACCGCCTGGTCGAATTTCTCGAGGGCCTCCTGCGGTTTGCTCAGGGAGCTCAGCACCTTGGATTCCCAGCGCGAGAATGGCGCGGACTCCACAGGGTAGGGGATCACCCAACTGTCGTGCTGCCCCAATTAACATGCAACCCACCTGAACGCTTCAAAAGGAACATGGTCTTCCAAACCCCCCTGTCAGGTTCCATGTGAATTGGTTGGAGGGTGCCACAATGATTAGAACAGCCTCCTTTTTGCTTCTCAACCAACTGCCGTGTACACAACTCGTTTGAACAGCCTTCTCGTTTTCTTCTATTTTGGGACCCAGCCGTTTAAACATCTTTTGCCGAAAAGGGGCCCCAACTCTCCTGCGAAGTCTTTCCCCCATCCGCATCGAACGCAATCCTCAGATGCCCAGTGGCCATGGGGAAACACACACACACACACACATCCTTTTTTGGTTGGTTGACTTTAAAGGGGAACCCTTCCCCCCAAAAAAAAGGAAGACAGGGCACCACCTGGCAACTGGGAATCTTTGCCACACCTCCAATGCTGAACTCCGAATCCGATTCAAATCTTCGAGACTTGCCAACTTCCGGCGCCTTTCACCTGCTCAATCCGCCTAAAACTTGCCGGCCTGGAGTAGACGTCGCCATGTACTTTCACCAACCATTTGGCCATGGGTCAAAAGCCCATACCCCCAGTGAACATCCCAATCTCCACTAAAATAGGTTCTAAAATGGGTGGTGAATTCACCTACCAACCAAAATGGGATCCCAAAACGGCTTTGACAACCACGGCCATTTGGACACTTGACCACGCATCCCAGTTTCTGAGAGGATTGGCGCGACCTTTGTGCGAAACCTTTCCAAAACGTGTCTCAAGCACACGCACTGAGGACGTGAGGAATGGTCGCCCAAATGGGACAACCAACCCTTGGTTCGTTCTGACTTGCTAAAAGTAAGGCTTTTGGGATGTCACAACTCCAACTCTAACCGCTAAAACAACTTGACGCCATGCGGTCAATTTCGCAGGTGATCACTGATCACCTTGTGGGTTGTGTCCGGACACACCGCCCTGTCAAATTCGTTTAAACGGCTTACAACTTCTAACCCTACAAACCTCCCATCAAGCCTGGGAAATGCAGCCCAAAACATGCTCAACCACCAAATAGGAAGTTGCGATCGTGATTCCCCTGGGCGTTTCTGCAAATTGCGCCCCCCAACCTGCAAAATAGTGTTAGTTTTTTGCTGGTTGAAAGGGTAGATGATGGAACACCAAAAAGGCAAAGGCTTAAACAAGGGAAGTTTAAATCTGGCAATGGTTTGAGAAGTTCCTCAATTGGAGACATACCTGAGCCTCGCTCGGAATATCCGATGACCCGAAAGGACACGGGTGAATTGGGCCTCTCGGGCTGAACATTAGGCCAAGTGGGCTGCAAACCGCAATCCTTGACGGAACCTCTGATAGCTCCTTGACAGGGAACTGCCACCCGAACTTAGGCGGGATCGCCCCCCGTTTGAGGTTGGACCAAAAAGGGACACATGACCTCCATTTGCTTAAGTCCCCTGGAAAAGTAGTGATCGATTCCCTTTAAAACCAACAGGAGAACAAATAAGCTCAGGTGATATCCCCAACAGCATGTGGTGGAACCTTGGTGGAACCCGCGTGGAACCTTACCTCAGGGCCGCCCCGCACCACCCCGGAGCCTATCTGGGCTGAGACCCCAAATCTTTCAGCTGTTGGGGAAAGAAACAAACAAACATATATTCTTCACCAAATGGAAGATAAAAGGCGATGCGGCAACACCCCAAAACGTTTTTGAGGATGCCAACGCTTGAGGCTTCGGCTGCGCCAAGCTCAGCTCAGCGCGAGAATTGGTTCAGTTCGCGTTGGGCGCCCGCGCCATTCCCTGGTAGCAGCGGAGCACCGAGTTGCTGGCGTTCACCTGCAACGCCTCAGTTGCTTCGTCGCTAGCCCGGCCCCGTTGCCGGCCCCCAACTTCCCCCCAATGTCCCGTCAATTCCCTCAAATTTCCACCCAATCCAAATTCCCCCCCCCCCCATTCCCAAATTTCCCACCCAATTTCCACCAATTTCCCCCCACAAGTTCCCCACAATTTCCCGACATTTCCCCTTAATTTCCCCCAATTTCCTCCCAATTTCCATCCGACTTGCCCCCAATTTCCCCCCCAGTTCCCCCCAAATGTCCCCGCAAATTCCCCAAAAATCCACCCCAACTTCCCTCCAAATTCCCCCCCCCCCCAATTTCCAGCCAAATTTCCCACAAATTGATAGAGGCAAGCTCTAACAGATGAGGTGTGAGAAATGCAGGGGAGATGAAGGGGGAATGCAGGGGAAACGAAGGGAAATGACAGACAGTCATGAGGAAATCAACGGACGCGAAGGGACATGTAGGGAAATGGCTGGCTATTGAGTGGGACATAAATCGAAAATGAAGCCGGAATACCGAGAAAATGACAGGGACATGAAGGTGGAATTGACAGGAAATGAAGGGGACATAACGAGGAAATGATAGGCAGTGCCGGGACATGAAAGGAAATGACGGGACATGAGCAAATGAAGGGGAAATGAAGGGGCAATCAAGATAAAGAGAGAGAGGATGGAGAGGAGAGGGAGGGAGGGAGGGAGGGAGGGAGGGAGGGAGGGAGGGAGGGAGAGAGAGAGAGAGAGAGGGAGGGAATGGAGAGAGAGGGAATGGAGAGGAGAGAGAGAGAGAGAGAGAGAGAGAAAGAGAGAAAGAGAGAAAGAGAGAAAGAGAGAAAGAGAGAAAGAGAGAAAGAGAGAAAGAGAGAAAGAGAGAAAGAGAGAAAGAGAGAAAGAGAGAAAGAGAGAAAGAGAGAAAGACATACAGCTAGAAAGGGGAGATCAATGGGTAGATAGATGGAAATGTCAGACAACTAGCTACGTGGATAGGTCTCACATGAGCGCTCACATGCCCTACCCTCTTGCCTCTTGATACGGCATTTTGTTCTTTCAAGAAATCGTTACCGCTTGGAGATGTTCGTCCGATTACAAAAGAAGCCAAGAGAAGGGAAGATAAGAGAAGATAAGAGAAGAGCAGCGCAGAAGCAGGAAGAGAAGAAGAGGTCAATGTCGGCGGACTGAGCCGGAGGCTCTAAAGTAACCCCTCTTCCAACCTTGAACGGATCTTTGCAGGGAACAGTAGTTATGCCCATACTCCCTGAGAACAAGCAAGAAAGGTGTGACTCCGAACATTCCAGTCCCTTTACCCAGTGTTCATTTTCGAAACCACCGATGTGTACTAAGAATCTTCGAGAAAATGAAGAAAAGGGAGGCTAGAACCTGGTAACCATGACTATACACCACTTGCCATGATTGTAAGTCCTGCAAGATGACTTTGCCGAGACCCTCAGAACCGCAGAACCCTGCCGGACACTGACTCCAAATCCCAAGATCAGCGACTTTTACTAGCAGGTGAGTAAACAACATGAAACAAGAAATCAGCCCTGAAGCAAATCAACTTTGTGCTGAAAACCCAGGGCAAACCACCATCGTTTGCGAAGTTGCCCCCATGCTGGTCCTTTGATTTTCCCAGGATGCTTTCAGATAACTTTTGGAACACATCATTCGGGTCACAAAAGCTTATGGTAAACACCTTCATGCATGGTCAACATTTAGCCCTCTCGGTTCGGTCCCCCATCTGGGGCTGGTGGCCCCAGAACTCGACGCAAGGGTGTGATCTGACCAGAGCTAAGTGTCAAAATCCTCGGCTGTGCTCCCCTGCTGAAAGTTTATCTTGTGGGTGAACCCCCCCAGCCCCCATCTCTTCACCCCAAAGCCCCCACTAAACCAACTGAACCCTAAAAGCCTCTGCCAAGAAGGGTGTCTCTCTACGGTGCTCGAGCGGAAACGGAGCGTCCATCCCGATTGTGTGTGGCCAAGCAGCCAACAATGCCTTGTGAAAATTCCCCGAAGGCAGGGACAAATGGGATATAGAAATAGACAAATTCTGAAGCTATCCGAATGATTATCGGGAAAACGGGCCAGCAACCCAATTTGACTCGGTCGAGGCGATCGTGTCCCGCCCCGAGTTTGTGCTTCCCGGTCCCGTTGCCTTGTCGAAGTGGTACTTGGCATTCCTCGGTCCCAAAACTCAGATTAGAGTTAAACAAGCTGATAACATCAGCTACCCTCCCATCAATTAACATGGAACCTGACAGGGGGTCCCTTTGAATCTTGGAGGGACCGCCTCTCAGGTGCCATGTGAGGAGAGAGGCTCAGCTGAAGTTCCACAGCCCACCTCACACGAATCTGCTTGCAGAACATCCCAGACGTCTCTATGCTCATTTTGCGCCCAAAGGATCGATCCTTTTGGGGCCAAGGATCAAAAATGGAAACCCAAAATCGGAAAAAATGGGGTCGATTCGCTTTGCCCAGATCGCAGGGAAGCCGAAGCAACATCCCGGGCCCAATAACCCACTTGTGGCCAACTCGGGCCTGAAATACTTGTGGGCTTCGGCTTCAATTCATATCTAGTCATGATAGTCACCTTCTCAATCTTCCCGTAAATGTAAAGGGAGCAACAACCCTCTTGTCTTGAGGGGATGCCATGGGAGGCTGTAGTCACCAGAATGGAGCGTCAGTCTGAGGCAAGGCATTGGATGTGGTTGGATGGGTTGAGTGCTAGCTGCACCCAGCGCGAGCTTTGCTAGGAGCTGGACCACGCCCTTGCACCAGACCCACGTGGTGGGGGGCAATTCCCAAATTTCCGCGTGTTCAGCCAGCGTCGCAAGGCAGCAAACGTTCCGGGCGTTCCGAATGCCCCTCTCCTGAAGGATCGTTCAAGAGGTGTGGAACCGGAAACCGCACCAGCGGCTATTGTGGATCTGCTTGAATTGAAGCTAAGAACTTGGGAATGACTTCCTGACTTCATGTCAGCCTCACAACACCCAGAGGTCCCAAACAGAAATCCCGCTGGCCTCAAACAAGTCGGAGGTCCCCCAAAAACCCGAAGAAATCCTGGACGTCTCTGGCCTCTCCAGATTTCTAGTCCGAGCCTCTCGCCCCCTCCACGTGTGAGGCTGGCCTATTCCAGGAACTAGCAAAAACAACCACAACCAATGGAGGTCGGGCATACCTCCAGCCTCCCATCACCCCACATCTCGGCCAAAGGCTTTTGGGGGGAAGCTGAGTCCAGGCAACCTCCAACAAAAACACAGACCGTCTGAAGCGCCGTCTCGGCCCAACGGCGGCGATCGCAACCAATTCGAGGCTTCGGCTCGTGCTCCTCTTGCCGGTGGTAGATGTTGCCGAGGCCCCACCTGAGCAATTTTTTGGTTCGGGACGCGGGTGGTTTGGGAGGTTCGGGGTGGGTGCAGCACTTTTTCAACTCAGGTTGCTTCCGGGGAAAAGCGCGGAAACACGCCGCCCATTTTGAGGGAGACAGCCTGACATTGAAGAACGATATCAGGTCAATTCGAGCTGTCCAGGGACTCATCGAGCCATTTTCAACGATTGAAACTCCAGCGGTTTCTCCAAAGAACGATGGTTAAAGCAACATGGAACTGGGATCGGGCTTCCAACCGCCAGGAATTGGCACCCAAAAGGGCCCAAAAGCGTTGGGGCACCCAAAAAAGCCCTGGCAAAGGCGCTCAACATGCTTGTCAAAGGGTGAAACCCAACATGGTTTCCAGTGAAACCACCCCCCAAAAAGGGTACTCTCAAAACCAAAGACACCGCATCCACACCGCATCCACACCGCATCCACACCAACACACTAACATACCAACACACACACACACACACCATTTTGAGAAGCAGCTTTGTTGGTGAAGACCGCTTTGCTAGGTTGAACGCTTGATTTGTGAAGACTGCGCGGCGTGGTGACGTGCCCCAATCATATACAGGTGTTTCGCGAAATGCTTTCTGCAGGGGCTTGTTGGTGACCCAGTGTGAAGAAGTGCAATTTTTCTTTTCGCAATAAGCTCTGGCGGGCTTGTGCCCGTGGGATCACGGAGGTGCCTTGAGGCCAAAATTTCAGCCCTCGATCATGCCGCACACGTGCAGTTTCATGAGAAAGTACACCCCCTGCCGCCTGAGTGGATTGGCCACAAAGGTCCAGACCCAAACAGTGAAAGTCCGAAGCGGAACTCAGCAAGTGAGAACATGATCACTGCCCTCCAGATTCCCATGGAAATCAATTTGTGGGTCACAGGAAAACACAGATTCCTCCTATGAAGTTCTTCGAGGTTCCATCTGCAGGGAGCAGTTGTGACTTGGCAATGAGTCAGAGTCGTCGTTGATAGATAGCAAGCAGGCAACAAACGCACAGAATGTCGACGTCATATTGTGGATGCACAGCATTTCTCACTAGTTGGGATGGAATAAACCCAATTTGAATACTGGATGATCAACCAAGGTAAAACAATCCCAACTGGTGCGTATCGCGGATTTCGTTCAACATTTTTGACCTTTGCTGAGCCTTTGCTGGTTAGTCAGAGAGATGCGGTTGCTTGGCTTCCGCGCCAGGCATTGTAGTGCCTGGGGTCCAAGCGCACGGCGTTCTCGTACATGGCCACGGCCTCAGCACCGAAGCCGCCGTGTTGCAACGCGTGATCCCCTTCACGTGGACACGGCTAGCTGCTGATGCGGAGGATGGTGGGTGAAGGGTGCCTAAAGGGTGATTCAAGGGCACTTGCCACCCATGCGAAACAAATGAAAGGCGAAAGGCAACCAGGTCATGCAAGCAAGCAAAGAGGGCTTGTCTGCTTTTAGGAGACGCCCAACAAATGGCTGCGGTTTTCCTCCTGGCTTCCCTTGAAAATCAAGGGGTACCCTGAAAAAGAAATGCTGAAACTATAGGCGCATTGCAACTGATTTGGATATGGGAAAGCCGGAGAGGTTCCCCGCATGCCTTCGGGGATCTACGGCACCATCTCCCGGGAAGGGGAAATCGGGACCAAAGGGCTGAAAAGAAGACCCCCCTTTGGGGATTTCAACAGGACATCCTGAATGAAGTGCGGGAAACGGGAAACCAAGGAAAGAAACCAAGGAAAGAAAGAAAGAATGAAAGAAAGAAAGAAAGAAAGAAAGAAAGAAAGAAAGAAAGAAAGAAAGAAAGAAAGAAAGAAAGAAAGAAAGAAAGAAAGAAGAAAAAACAACACAAACAACCACAGACACACAAGCCCCTCCGCGAACCAAGGACGGTCCGTCCGTTTTCCGACTTGCCTTGTCGATCTTCTCGCTGGCCACGAACTCGTGGCCGCACAAGGTGTAGGCGTACGTGAAGGTGGAGTCCACCTGATGATTCGACAATCGACCCAAAGGACTCCTCACAATAGAAACGCCTGAACATTGCCTTGTAAATTGCGGTTTCCCTTTATTTGGGTGGAAAAAGTCATGTTTCAAATTGTTGCAAAATGTACCTTTTCAGGAGCCCAGCTCAAGCAGAAATTCGAGGCCTAAAGGCTTGGAGGCTGACGTGGGAGGCGTCCTTGAGGAGGTGTCCCCTTTTTTTTGTTGAGGCCATGGATATTGGAGGAAAGACTTGGTTCGGTTGGTCAGTAGAAAATAAGGGAATGACCGCATGGACATACCAACACCTAAATCCATAGGGCGGACTGCGCAGGGGTCTGTCTGGATTTGGGCTTCCCACAGCTATCAGGCGTGCCCGGGCGGCGCTGAGGTTTTCTTGGGTGTCCCGCAGAGGAGAAAAGAGAACGCAACTCTGGGCTGTCCAAACTGATCCCCTGCCAAAGGTTACTTTGGCGAAATGGACACCCCCAACAAAAAAACTAAAAACCCAACGAACTAAAACAACTAAAAACAAACAAACACCTAAACCACCAAAAAATTCTACAAACAAAACCAACGAACTGGACGGCTGGGAAGCACCAAGCTTTGTGCTGGTCGAGTGGGGTGCTGTTTTGGGTTCGGTCGAGAGCACCCAACCCAAGGCGTTCCGCCTCAAAAGGGAAGCCATGGGTAGGAGGGTGGATTCCAAGTGTACGGTCCACATCCTGGTGGTTTTCATTTTAACCCATACCAAGTTGACTCGGATCAACATGGTCTACACCTCCGCTTCCAGCAGGACACACCCCGATCAGACCCATCCAAGTCACAGCTGCTTTACAGGGAAGCCAAGGGACACCCATGAGACGTCCCCCGCATCCGTAACTGAGGTCAGGCCAACGGATGCCCCCCAAACCAGGTAACACTTTCCCACGAACAAATGAAGCACTGGGATTCGAATGGTCTAACCAAAACTAATTACGCATATGTAGACGTGTATATATATATATATACACAGTATATTACATATACCTCATATCGGGCAATATACGGTATATACATAATTCCCCTCGAAAGCCAACCATTTTGGATTGCCTGGATCGCTCGCTTGAATAGCTTCACCGCGGCGTCGTGCTCTTTCTGCAAACTGGCGGCCGTGGCGCGGCACCCGATTTGGGGTGAGCGTGGTCGATTTGGTCAAAACCCAAGAACCACAACATCGCAAACTTGGTGTAGCAAAAGACTTTGCTTTTTGCCGCCCCCTACTAAACAGGAAGAGAATCAAACAACTAAAAAGCCAACCAACAACCAAGAACAGTGAAGATAAGTCTTAGCTGTTTACCAGGAGTAGCGGTTTGCACTTGCGAACCTTGCCCCTCTTACCCTTAAAACCTTCTATGCAAAGGAATGGTGGGAGCCAGCTTCTAGGATATCCAGTGCAGCGGTATCCATGGTTTGTGATTCAAACAGTCCAAGCACGCTTCGATTGAGGCTTGAGCCTTCGCTTTTCCAAAGGATTTTCTTGGGTCTACTTTGGCTACCGACTGCTGAACCTGCATTTCTCTAGACATCAACCGCTGCAGTTTTCGGAGGTTGGAAAACCGAAGGGGCTCTGGCACCGCTGACACGCTGGCACGCCATAAGTCGCAAGCTAGAATTAAGAAGTTCTCTTTGTCAACCCTACCCGACCAACCAATCAGTCAACCAATCCACTAATCAATCAACAACGCAGCATTCGACAAGGATCTGCGCAAATTCATCTGTGGGTTCCCATGATTTGAAGTTACATAGCCTAGTTGGCACATCGCCAAACAAGGGTGAACATTGAGGGACTCAACCACAGTTCTCTGGCAACAACCCGATGCGGACCTCAAGGAGCCCGTTCCGAGAAAGACACGAATCGCGCAAATGGGACAAGTAGTGAGAACTTGGCTCCCAAGGAGCCATTGAAGGAACTCTCATGTCGTTGGGCTTGACATCCATGGGCCTCCACATCGGCTTGCAATGAGTTCACCCAGGATTTGTAGACCCCTGATTGATTCATGGACGGAAAAAGGGGCGGGGGGGGTCGAAGGGACACAAGAACCAAATGTCGTTCTGGATCCGCATTATTTGTGGCTGGGACAGTCCGCTAACACTCACTTGCCCGGGTGTTAAGACTAAGCCAGTCGTGCTTTGGACCCCCAAATTTGCAGTTAAGACCAGCCAGTTCTTCATGACCTGTCGCCCAAGTGAAACTGCAGGGTTTCTGAACGGTGCGAAGTGGATTTCGCAACCATCCACAGCAGGTTGAACGGAAGCCACCAATTCCAGTTTCTGACTCCAGAAACAGAACCAAAACACTCACCAGTTCACCTTTTGGGTTGCCTTGGCTACTGATAGATGAACATGGGCCAACTGTCCAACCCAAACGGTATGGTAGCAAAACACATTGTTTTTTTTCTGCAGCCCCCAAGCCAAAACTGATCAGTATCAAGAAACCAAACAAACCCAAAACATGCCAACAGTGAAGAACAGCAAAAGGTCAGATCCAGTTGCCCCACAATTTCACCTCAGCCCAGTTTGCACCCAGAAATCAACGGTTCAGCAAGACATGGGCCACTCAAAATGAACCGACGATGATTCGGTTCACCAAACAAGAGGCCACTAGAAATGGAAACCCAACATGGGAAAATGCAAAGGTCAGATCCGGTCGACTCCCCCAAACCTCCGCAAGGACCCGCCTGAAGCAGTTGCCCACGACGCACCACACCTGCGGCTTCAGCCTGTCCTCAGCGAGCGGACGCGCGCGCGCGAAAGCGGTCGTTGGAGCGCGGTTGCACATCCCAAAGTGGCTTCCTTCCATAGACCAGCAGGACCTGAGCCACAAATAGGTAGACCAAAGACTGTCAAAGCACCTACAAACCACATGTGGAACCAGCACAAACTTGTAAGTGGGTTTGGCTCGTGTTGGTCTGTTTTGGTGGCTGAACATGCCTGAGGCGGGCGGATTCGGGTGGCTTCCATTGAAACTGCCCACTTGTGGCTTTCCGAAAAATGGAAATTGAAGGACCCCTGAATAAGTTTGGGAAAAAAACAACTATTACCCCCTACTCCAAATACCCTCTTGTTTTAGGGTATGATGTCGACCATCTACAAAAAAGGAGGTATTTGCCCTGGAAACCCCGTTTTCTTTTTCTTTCAAGAACTGCCCTGAGAAAAGGGAAGGACAAACCGGCTCGAAGGTCCAGTGACTTGAGCTCCCCTTGCGCCATCAGGCAGAGACATGGCGGCTTGGGGCTTCCAGGTCTAGCGACCTAGAGATGCTGATGTGAAGGAGCCCCGGGCTGCCCGTTTTCAGATCCCCCGGCGAGAAGTGAGTTGGACTTTTCGTGGGTTAAATGGAAACTCGCGCTAAACACTAAAAGGCTAAAAAGCTAAGGAACCGCATGGCTGGGAGCCACCAAGATCAGACTCGTCTTTGGAGATGGCCACATGTTGTCCCCCAAAAAGAGGACGCAACAAATAGGACGTTCCGAACTTCTGTACTGCTGACCCCGGATGCATGAACCCATTGGATAGCGGGGCGGGGGTCCCTCCAAAAGTGGTCTGAATCTCCACTGAAGGGACTGTCCCGATCCAAAACTTGGATGTCCAAGTTTTGAGGGCAGCCCTTGTTGGTGGTTTCAATAGAAACCAACAGGATACCCAAAAAGCAACGGCGTCGCCAAACGACACAGTCTGTTGCTTTCCAGGGTACCCCTTTTTGATGGTTTGAAACAAAACCAACAGAACCCTCTCCCCCCCCTCTCCAAAGAAAAAAAGTAAAGACCACGACAACATGGACCAACAGACCCCCCCAAAAGAAGAACAGAAACCAACGAAAAGAGCAAAAAACAAACAAAACACATTTGGCTCGCTCCAAAAAAACCGTTTCGGTACTTCTCTCTCAGCCCTTGAGGCCGAGGCCCATTGCAAGCACTGCTGCGCCAGTCGGCCTTGCCCGAAATGCGGCCGATGGCTGGCCCCCCAAAATACGGGGCCTTGCGTTAAATACATATGAATAAATAAAGGAATAAACAAACAAACCAAACAATTAATAAAATAAACAAACAAACCAATAAACAAATAAACACATACATGTATAGATATATATATGTTATTGTTTTTTTGTCAGGGGGTCCCCGAAACCACAAGGAGACCAGGTACCAACAGACAGGAGCACTATGGGCGATCAGCCGGAAGTGGTAACTTCCAGGGCAGAATGCCAAGCCGACGGAAAGATGATGCGAGCCCTGGTTAACTTTCATTTTTGGGAGGGCCTTTGCGGGTTGCAACGGCCAGAGCCACAGAAGGGAGTTTCAAGCTGAACCCGCTCTGTTAGTGAGACTTCGTGTGTGTTGTTGTACGTAAATGGGTCTTCATGGCAGTGGAGAACAAGCTCGCAGCACGCTCGCTCCATCTCTGGGCGGGTCCCACAGAGCTCCACGTCTCTTCGGAGGTGCCAAAGAGCGGAGGAGTAGTACTCCAAGCCTCGCGAGATCTCGAGATCTCGCACGAGATCGAATTCGTAGACTTCGCGAGACATTGAGATCGAGTTCGACGTGGGTTTTTGGAGAAAAATTGGGAAGACATCGAATTTGACGTGGGGTTTTCTGAGAAAACTTGGTGCGATAGGTAGGGAATGACTGACATTCCGAGACCGGGTGTTGGTAGAACGAACTGGCTTTGGATTCGGATTCCCTTACAGGGCTGCGGTGTTGCTTGAATGAGCCGGTTTTGGGATGGAATGACCGGGAAGGAAACCAGTTAAAAGGGGGGTCAAACATTTGCTGAGAACCAGCAAGAAAAGGACCAGCAGGGTATGTCAGAGTGGTTGGGGATTGAGGGTTTGTTTTCTCTTTTTTCGTGTATCTCAAGAGTGGAGCCTCTGGTGGGTTGAGGGGTGACAAAAGGAACTTCTTGAAAGGAGAATCGGGTGCTAAGCGGTTGGTAACCATGTTACCCACCAAGCTACGTGTTGGCTCTTCGCCACAGGAGCCTAGAGCAAGCAGGCGTTGTCTTCATGTCAGCCGCCGTGAAGGACACAACAATTCCAAGGGAACATAGTGGATGCTCAAAATTCTGCACCACTTGGTAGGTTGTCTACTAGTTGTTTATCAACCTAGTATTCAATTTGGGGTTTCATCCCAATTGGTACGAAGCGGATTTTGGGATCACTATTCAATCCTGAACTTCGCCAACAACTTTGGCAGCTGCGCTGGGGGTTGTGCTTTTTGAGAGTCCCACTTTTGTTGACACAGACCTGCCTGGGTTTGTCTTAAACATATGGGACCCTTCGTAACATGCTTAGTTTCTTCGAAAACCAACAACCAGGGACTCCTTAAAGAAAAAGACACACCCAAAGGAACTGCTAGTTCCTCGTCGTCCAAAATCCAAGCCACGGCTCACCGAAGTACCATGAATGCCAGGTGCATCATGCAGGGCAGACCTTGACGTCTCGAGTCGTGTTTCCACTGAGCATACCTGCAGCCTCCATTGATACATCAATTTTTGCTCGAAATATTTGTGCTCGTGACAACCTGTTCTGAAGTTGATGTACGAGCATATTGATGCATCACGATTGAAACAGAACATGGAGTCCGTGATTTCAACTGCGACAGGAAAAGAATCGGTAAGGTTTTTTTTGGGTTGACATTTGTTTGTGAAGCGCATTCTCCCGAGCGTATTGTCCACTAAAATGGACCAAACCCAAAAAGTGATCAGTCCGAAACGGAACTCAAGCGAGCACTACTGTGGATGAACGAAACGCCACTTTGAAACTATGGGAAACCATTGTTTGTTGGTATTTACAGGGGAATCGAATCATTCCAGGGTTTGTAGCCATCCACAGTATGGGGGGCATTTCCCTTTTTTACAGGTAGTTGAAGCCCTTCCGAGGACTGCTCACCGCGCCTTCCACGCGGAAGGGTTCCACTCTCCAAGCCTTCCAAAGCATGGGATCGGCCACGGTTTTTTTCTTCACGGGGCGTCCCTCCAAAGAGGAGACCCCAGGGGTTCCTTCAAAAGCCAACCCTGGGCTTACTGGGGGTTTTCTCTGGATGGGGGAGTCGCTGGAGAGCTACGGGCAATCGATTCGGTGGCAAGCGAGCGAAAACCCTGGGCAGGTGAATGAGGACGATCACCTGGAGTCAAATGTGTAAAATGTTCTACTAACGTGCAAGGAACAAAAAGGTGGCCGCACCCATAACAGACACCCCTCATTTTTCTTGACATGACCATGGTTTTGTGTTTGGGTGTGTCTTGAAACAGGAAGAGAAACTCAGACAAGGGCTGGTTTGCTGTTGGTCTAAAACCACAAATTAGGGGTACCCAGTGGAGTTCTGGGGTACTTGCCATAACGTCGAAGGCGCACCGTTTGGGGAGGTGGAAGCTCGTGAGTGTTGAGTGGGAAAGGTGAGCAATTGGGACGCCTTTTTTTGATACCCTTTGGATGGGAAAGGGAAACCACAAAGCACACCACTTTTGGGGGTCCCGATCCATATTTTCGGGACCCAAACCCATGTAGCAACTGGGAACTCTGGCAGCGAGTGCTCTAAGACGAATGGAGTTTGCTTCAGCCTGCAACCCGCGACCAGCCGCATCAGTTTTGTGCTCCGCAGCCAACTTCCAGAAACTTCACCACTTTACGTGCGCTGCGCTGTGAGTGGCCCTTGTGTGCAGCCTCACATTGTCTACCGTCTCTTTGTCAGCCCCGCATCCAGCAAGCACTGCGCAACTGCCTGATGACTTTGTTGTGCAGCAATATTCAGTGATGTGTGTGGTTTGGTTGGTCACCTTGTCTTTGTCACCATTGGCATCCAGCCCGCAGCTCACAATTTTCAAATGGCCGTTTGTCGAAGCATATACAATGGTGTCACATGGCGGTGTCTGTCAGCAGCATTAGCTTTTTGGACAAACATCTGGGCGGCGCTTGTGCCACGTTTCGGACCGCATCTGTTGATTTCCAAACAGCATAGGGGAAAACCATGCGACCAACCTCAACATCGTGCAATATGGATGGCATGCTCCAGGTCCCAAGCAAACGGGACCATCTGCTTCATTGCTGTCACCGATGAGGACTGCGAAGCTTAAACCTCGTGCTATGCAGCACTCCGCAAGCGAGGCTGTGCTGGCCTGCTTGGTTGCACTCTCTTCAGCACCGGCGTCCAGCAAGCACTGCACAACTGCCTGATGGCCCTGCTGTGCGGCAATGTGCAACGCAGTGGCTTGGCAGTCTTTTCTGTGTTGGCACCGGCATCCAGCAAGCACTGCACAACTGAGTGATGACCCCGCTGTGCAGCAACATTCATTGGCGTGAATCTTCCAGCAAGCGCTGCGCAACTGCCTGATGTCCTTGCATAGCAGCAAGATGCAAAGGCGTCCAGCCCTCGTCAGTCGTCTTGTTGTGGTCAGCACCTGCGTCCAGTAAGCACTACACAGCTGCCTGATGACCCTGTTGTGCAGCAAAATGTAACGGGCCAAGAGACTCCCAATTACCTATTGGTAGCCGGTATTTTTTCTTTGGCTTCTGGTGCATGTTCAATAGACTTGAATCAACAACAAGATGTGAAATGGTGTTTTTTTCCCATGCCCTGTTCAAGTCAGGATTGCATTTGCCAAATTTCAGGCAGCTCGCGCTGGTTTGTGGCCTAGGCAACTTGGGGCCAGAGGCTCCTTGGGAGATTGCTGAGTGCCTGACAGCGGTGGTGAGGCAATATGTTGAAGCAGCCACGGGTGAGTCCGAGGGTCAGGCAACTTGCGTTGGCTTGATGCAAGCAACGCAAAGAGGCGACGCAGAACATGTGCTAGAGCTGTTGGAGAAGCCTCATGATCCCAATGCTGCTGACAGACACCGCCATATGACACAATGCTTCTGCAAACGGCCATTTGGAAATTGTGAGGTGCTTGCTGGATTCCGGTGCTGACAAAGAGAAGGCGACCAACGATGCCGCCACTCCTTTGCATGTTGCCGCTGGGCAGGGTCACGAGGCAGTAATGCAATTCTTGCTGGATGCCGGCGCTGACAAAGACAAGGCAGACGACTTGGGAATCACGGCAATGCATCTTGGTGCAGGGAGGGGCCATAAAGAAGTCGTACAACGCTTGCTGGATGCCAGAGCTGGCAGAGAGAAAGCGACCAACGAGGGCAGATCACAGGTGGCGCCGCAACGCATCGAAAACACAGTCCCATCTTCCTGTCCGCGCAGCTCGTCCCGCCACGTAGCATACTCCTTTGCCGTCATCACATTCGTGCCATCCAGCAATGTTCGTGCATGGGACACGTGAGCTGGTGCTCGAGCCGAATCTGCCTTCCATGGCGAGGCTTGTACCAATGGATTGGTCCCCGTGGAAAAGTTTCCATTGTCACTCCAGCCCCTAATCCAGTTCAACCTGCACAGGTTCTGCGAAATCTCTGCCATGCGCTCATTTGCTCGGGTGTTCGGGGATCACGGCATCTGTCGCTGCGCTCACCCCCCAAAACCTGGCCTGGTGAGGGCTCAGGCGGGATGCGCCGGTTTCTCGCGCTTTCGCGCGCTTGATTGTTGGGGCCACAATTTGGGTTGGCTCAAAGCAGGGGCACCCCCCGAGCTTTCCATTTGGCGTTTTACTTTGGACCAACCGGAAATTTCAATCTCAGCAACGTGGGCTTTTGACTGAGACCCAGTGAGGTGGTTTATTCGGGGAAAATTGGACCGAACGCGTCAAACAGCGCTCTCCGGATGGTAGGAGTGTTTCCGCAAAGGCTCAGTGCCCTTTTGGGTCAGTCAGCCTGGTTGACCGGGTTGTCTTGAGGCTTGCTAGGTCTTCAGCCTTTTCCCACTCATTTTTCGGATTCTGGCAACCATATTTAGTCTCCCCTATCTGGGCTGCCTGTTTTCTGATCCCCTGCTTAAAGTGAGAACAAGTTGCGGGTTCAATACAGACACCACCATTAAACCAACTAAACAGATCTAAAAAGCTACGGGATGCTTACTCCGATGCCCAGTGGATTTCCATGGGAAAAGCACCTTTGGTTGGTTGAGTTCAACAGGGCACTGGGCAACAGAGATTGCGGATGGCTAGGAAGGTTTTGGAGGACGAGCCGTCAATCCCAACGATTCTTTGGACACCACAGACTCTTCGCATTTCTCGGAAATGCCCAGAGCCACGAATCCCTTAAGCGACCCAGGGGAACCAGTCCGCAAGGCTTGGCGTGAAATGCAGGGGAGACGCAAAAGTGACTTTCTTGGCGAAACCTAGCACTAGAATATAGAATTATCGAAGGCGGCTCAAGGTTAATTATGACTTTTCTTTGTGCGTTCTTTTTCAGAGAAGCCAGTTCCCCCCCCAAAAAAAGAATCCTCTACGGCCATTATCCCAAGGAAACCCAAAGAAGAACGGCTGGAGATCGCTAAAAGCCAACCACGACCTCAGGCTTTGGTCAATAGAGCAACGGCGAAGTCTGTTTTTGCCTCCCTCCCACGGCGCTATGGTACCCATCGACAGAGGGTCCCTGGAAAAGAACATTTGGCCATGGGTCAAAATCCAAATCGTACCCCCAGTGAACATCGCAACCCCCACTAAAATAGGTTCAAAAATGGGTGGTGAATTCACATACCAACCAAAATGGTACCATTGGTTTTGACCCACACACATTTTAATTTATCTTCCAGATACTCTCCCGGTGCTATGTTTGCGCGAGGAAGGGTAGCCGTCCTTTTCGGCGGCGAATTTCATTCACTGGCTGCTCGCAAGCGCGCATCAGGCCATGCAGCATGCATTCCTGATTGCGAATCCTTGCCTCACATGTTCTTTGTCAGCGGCATGCAGCAAGAGTTGCACAACTGCCTGATGGCCCTGTTCTGCAGCAAGATGCAATGGTGTGGCGCCCTGGTTGGTCACCATTTCTTTGTCAGCACCAGCATCCAACAAGCACTGCACAACTGCCTGATGGCCCTGCAGTGCAGCAAGATGCAAAGGCGTGGCACCCTGGTTGGTCCTCTTCTCCCTCTCAGCACCGGCATGCAGCAAGCATTGCACAACTGCCTGATAGCCCTGCCCAGCAGCAACATGCAAAGGTGTGGCGCCATCATTGTCTGTCTTCTTTTTGTCAGCACCAGCATCCAGCAAGGACTGTAAAACTCCCTGATGGCCTTGCACAGCAGCAAAATGCAAAGGCGTGGCACCCTGGTTGGTCCTCTTCTCCCTCTCAGCACCGGCATGCAGCAAGCATTGCACAACTGCCTGATGGCCCTGCCCAGCAGCAACATGCAAAGGTGTGGTGCCATCATTGTCTGTCTTCTCTTTGTCAGCACCGGCATCCAGCAAGCATTGCACAACTGCCTGATGGCCCTGCCCAGCAGCAACATGCAAAGGTGTGGTGGTATCATTGTCTGCTTTGTCTTTGTCAGCACCAGCATCCAGCAAGGACTGCACAACTGCCTGATGCCCCTGCTGCGCAGCAAGGTGCAACGGTGCCAAACCCTCGTTGGTCGCCTTTTCTTGGTCAGCACCGGCATCCAGCAAGCGCTGCACAACTGCTTGATGTCCTTTCTCAGCAGCAAAATGCAATGGTGTGGCTCCCGTGTTGGCTGCCTTCTCTTTGGCAGCACCTGCATCCAGCAAGCATTGCACAACTGCCTGACTGCCCTGCTGTGCAGCAATATGCAATGGTGTGAATCCTTGCTTGGTCGCATGCTCTTTTTCCGCACCGTCATCCAGCAAGCACTGCGCAACTGCCTGATGGCCCCGGAATACAGCAATATGTAAAGGTGTGAGGGCATCGTAGGTCGTCTTCTCTTTGTCAGCACCGGCATGCAGCAAGCACTGCGCAACTCCCTGATGGCCTTGGAATGCAGCAAGATGCAGCGGCGTAAGGCCAAGGTTGGTCACCTTGTCTTTGCCAGCACCGGCATCCAGCAAGCACTGCGCAACTGCTTGATGACCCTGCTCTGCAGCAACATGCAAAGGTGCGGCGCCACTATTGTTTGCCTTCTCTTTGTCAGCACCGGAATCCAGCAAGCACCTCACAATTTCCAAATGACCGTTTGCAGCAGCATTGTACAAAGGTGTCTTTTGGCTGTTTCTGTCAGCAGCATTGGGATCATGAGGCGTCTCCAGCAGCTCCAGCACATGTTGCGCATCGCCTCTCTCTGCTGCTTGCAGCAAGTCAACGCAAGTTGCCAGCCCGTCCTCTTCACCTGTGGCTGCTTCAACATATTGCTTCACAACCGCTGTCAGGCACTCAGCATCCTCCCACAGACTGTCTGGCCCAAACTTGCTCAGGCCACTGGCTAGCGCAAGCTGCCTGAAATTTGGCAAACCCAGTCCTCACCGTTGACAAAGCAAGGACAACACCATTTCTTTTGTTTTTGCTGGTCAATCGTTAATTGACTAGGTCCTCCAGTAGAGAGGTTAGAATAAGAGTACCTTTTCTTCTTGTTCTCTGTAGTCTATTGTAGTAGGGGAACCCTCCCCCAAAAAAGAAACGGTAAAAGGGCACCTAGCTTCGGGGACCTAGTTCACGAACGTGCGCCAAAGGGACTAAAACTCGTTGACTTGAACAGGACATGGGAAAAAGGACACCATTGAACATCTTGTTGTTGATTCACGTCTATCGAACATGCACCAGAAGCAAAAGGAAAAACCAACCGGATACCCAATGTGCAACTGGGAATCTCTTGGCCAGTCGCCGCCGCAAGGTGTCGAACCACTCCCCGTCTTCCTGTCCGCGCAGCTCCTCCCGCCACAGCGCGCACTCCGCCCTGGTCACTACATCCGTGCCATCCAGCAAGCGAACGCACGCCATGAGCTGGACACTCCCGCTTGGCTCGCTGTGGCTCATGCATTGAAGCTTGAAAGAATGGAGCACATGTCTGAGAACAGCCAAGCCTTTGCTGAGACGCGCAGACTTTGATGCTTCTTTGGAATTCCCTTTAAAACCCAAGGAACAAGGGAGCTAGCTTTTGCACTCCCAGATCGGCAGTTGGCACTCCCTCGTACTCCAACAGCCAGTGCCCCCAGGGACCTAAGCTGAAGGTCAGATCCGGTCGATCCGCGTTGGCTCCCGAGCTTTTGTGTCTTCTTTTTTGTTTTGCTTTAAGCGGCAACTTGGCTGTGGGTCAAAAATAGGTACCCCAAAATGGAACCTTAGTAAATGGAACCAAAGACTAAAACCTGCGGTCCCCTGGTGGCTTAATTTTGACCCACACCCACATGGTGGCTGTTGATCGCAATAGTGTTTGTGGAACCTCCATGCAGGAATCCCCACCAGCAACGTGAACAATTCACGGAGCCCTCGTGCTGGAACTGATGTTTTTTGAGATCGCGGACCCGCAAATCTCGCTGGGTTCTAATGGGCATGGGTCAAACTGAAACCGCCAGGAATCGGACCGCAGGTTAAATCGTCCATGTTTCCATTTACCGATCGGGCAAGCCATTTTGGGTACCTATTTTTGACCCACAGCCTAATCAAAATGGGGGGAACCCTCATCCTAAGATGTCCGTAGTAAGCAGAAAGAGTGCCAGGCATGGTTAAGGATTGACTGTGAACAACCCAGTTGGCCATGGGTCAAAGCCCCGGATATCCAATCCCCACTAAAATAGGTCCTAAAATGGGTGGTGCACCTATATGGCCAGTTGACAAAACCGGCTGGACAAACTAAACGTCACGCAGCCCCCCGTTCGTTTTGATCAGGTGCCACTCGCCTGGTTGTAAGCCAGCTCCGACTTCTTGTAGTCGGCAGACTCGAAATAACTAAGCCTCTCAGCGCAGATTGTGGGAAGCGCGGATCCTGTTTCTGGTTGAATTTGGCTCCGTGCTTTTTCGACGGTGCCTTTTTTGGGGTGGCTTCAAAAGGAACCCACCAGGTTTGGGGTCCCCCAGTATGACACATGCCCATTTAAAGGGACACCCTTCCCCAAACAACAGGAAACGAAGGGGCACTGGCGGGCAACTGAGCTCTTGAGGGTAATCTGCTAGGAACAAACAAAAAACCGTATCATGGTAACTTTCAGTTTACATTTGCAACCTCATTCCTAGTTGCTCTGTGGACTTCCACAGAAACCTAGACACCACCATTCTCAAAGCCGGTTTTCTCTGGCCCCCGTCTTGATGGGCAGCCCTTCAACCAGTTGACCCCCGATTTAAACACCACGCTACTTTGCAGGTGAGAGCCCTTTTACATCGGCAAACAGATATACCTGTAGCCCTTTGCGGAGTTGACCATTTTTGGTGGGGTTTCCCACCACACAGAAAGGGGATCCGACTTCCTGGGTGGATTCGCCCCAAAAAAGGCCCGAATCTTTTTGGTTGCCTCCAAAAAGGCCATCCCCCAAAGCTTCAAGTTCAGCAACGGGAGCGAAATTTCGTGGCACTTCACCGCTGGGTCCTCGCAGTTCCCGGGGGTGAGAGCGACCCCAGTGGAGCCGGCTCCGTCTCTCAGGGGCAAAATCCGCTTCGCAGCGGGGTGGGATTTTCTCCATGCCGATCGGTGGATTTTGTCCATCCACTACGGTCTGCTTGCGAGGGTCTACGTAAAGTTGACTCATAGACACCAGCTGCAGGAAAATCTACGGGACACTTGCCAACTACCAAACACAAGGATTTCCTGTAGAACGTCCTGTAGCTAGTTTGATAGAAACTGGCGATGAAAAGGGGTTGCAAGTCACTTAACTAATGCTGGAACCGTCTATGCTTGAGCAGTAGTTCTCCTCTGAGAGTTCGGCATTCCGGGACAAAACACCCTACACGTAACACGGACAACCTTCCCCTTACAAAAAACAAAGACGCACACACACACACACACACTCACAGACACCTAAGTCCGCAAGCACAGGCACATAGAAACGTTTAACAGCCATTGAGCTAGCCAGCCCAATGTGGGTGTGTCTCTCAATCGGGAAGCCTGAAGTCCCTGAAGCCGCGTGCCATGGTTTTGTAAGTCCCGGGGTTAAATGTTGATCAGGAACCCTTTGGTGGACATCAGGATTTGGGGGATTGCACCATTTGGTTTGGTGGGCCCCATGCAAATGCACACTGGGAAATAGCCAGTGCTACGTTTTTACCTGTACATATCTGATCGCCCCTTGAAACCAAACGCTCCCTTGACCCTGCAAATGTCCCAGTGATTCCACTCAACTCTCTCTCCTGTCCCAAGGAGTATCCTAAAAAAACCAAAAGGATCTGCAAGTGAAAGACTGTGTCTAACAGCGGAACTACGGGGGGAATCATGGCTTTCGCTCGTTGTGCCCCCGCAGCGAGTGAGACATATAGGCAGGAGACCGGCTGCACGCGTCCCAAGTCCACCCCCATCCACCACTTCCACCTAATATCGAGGCCATCTTGGAGACTCTTAAGCCAAACAAGCAACAAAACAAAAACACAAATACAATAAGCATAATAAACAACAACATGCACACACACACACACAACCAACGGTTTTCCTTTTGGTCCTTCATAAGCCAACCTGAAAAAGGCAAGGTCCTCCACTAGATTGATTAGAACAAGCGCACCCATTTCTTCTGTAGTCTATTTTACTAGGGAAACCCTCCCCCCAAAGAAACGGTAAATAAGAGGGCACCAATTGCTGGGGGACCCAGAAGGGCCACCTTTGGCTCAAACGAACATCACCCAGCCGGTCGAACCTGACGCGACGCTGAGGCCACGGCCCGACCAAGTCTAAGACGTAGCCGGTCTCGTAGTGCCTGGCATGGAGGAGGGGCCACGAGGCTCCAAAAACCCGGGGCTCGAGGTACTCGGACCCGAAAGAACTACCCCCCTCCCCCCACCCCCAAAGAAGCTCATGTGGAAAAAACCAGGTCTTGGAGTCGAAAACCAAGTTCTTTGCTAGATGATTTTTTTTATTTATTTTTTTCTTCGGGTTTCTGATGTGATAGGTTCATGGCGTATGGTAGAAATTTCTCTTGATTTCCACTGCCACTTGCCAAAGGAAATGGACACCTGTAGGGATGACCCAAGTTTGTCACAATCGATCCTTGGCGGCTTTGGGAAATCAAGTTCTCGGTTGGATCTACTGTGGATGGACGAAATCCGTTCGCACCTCTCGGACACCGTGGGACACCATTGTTGCTGTTTACACGGGAATCGATTTCCAGGGTGTCTTTGGTGGTGCGAAATCAACGCTCGCAGGTGTCCCTGCTGCGGTTCGGGTCACACCCTTATATACCAGCCAAATGAGACCCCTGGGTTGCGATTCTCCAACCATTTTTCAGTGGCTATTCTGAGGCTCCGTCCAGGTGCCCCAAGACTGAGGTTGCAACAAATCGATCCGGATAAAACCCACCATACGGCCCAAAAACAAATTGGGCGGTACTGGAGCGAGCATCGCCAGTTGCTGCTTTTTTGCCATGCACTCAAAACCCCAAAAGCCAGCAGTGACTGGGAAAAAGCAAAGCAACTTGGCCACCTAGGTGCTTTTTGTATGTATATATATATATATATATATATGTTGAAACTGGAGGTTCCAAAATGGGAAATTGCAGAAACCCTGAACACTGTTGAAACACAATTGTTTTTTGTTTTAAACAAGTAACAACAAAAAACAGACACAAAAACAAGAACAATGCATATCACGTTTTGTTTTCCCCTTTCTGCGCCTGTTGCCGAATGGCCTCAGCCAAAGCTCGCCAGCCCAAGCCCGCCTCTTGGGCAAGAGCGACAGCTCCTGGACCGCCTGGCCGCAGTTGAAGCCGTGCCTCAGCGAGCGAGCGAGCCGCTTGGCTGAGGGGCTCAGGTACCGTATTTTTTGGAGGTGGGAGTGCTTTTTCTCTTTTCCTTCTTTTGTTTTTTTTGGGGCGGGGGGAAAATAAATTGTGAAAAGTAACACCCGGCAATGTGCTTCTTAATGGCAAAAAGAGGACGATTCGACCATTTTAGGGGCTCCCGATTTTGAGGCCAAAGTCTTACAGGAACTCTAGTGGCAACCAGGTGCAACACAAGTACAGCTGAAAGGGGAAATGGGGACCGTCAAACAAGGGCAGTTTGGCAAGCGGCGTTTTGTCCCCGCTTATCCACGGGAGTTTTCGCCAGGGCGGTCCCTGGGTAGGCGATGAGTTTGGCTTGCCCAGGTCTTCTTTCAAAGGGAACCAGGGGAAACCGAAGTTTCAGCCCCGATTCCAAATCCATTCCTGGTTCCAATGTGAAAACTTGGTTGAACAAACCAGCGGGCTTTCCTTTGGCATCTCAACGAAACAGGTTGGTTTGGCCTAAGGCGTAACCGTTCTCCTGCTTTCCTCGAGGCCCAAAGCTTCAAAGAGGAGCCCGTTCTCAAAGGAAGCCCAAACTCTTTTACCATTGAAAAGCAACAAACAAAGAAACAAACAAACAACTCTTTTCCCATAAAACAAACAACAAAAAGCAACACAAATAACAAACAAACCCACCGGTCCCCTTCGGACCCGTCCGATACCGCACGGCTCGCAGCTGGGATCCCGTCACCCCAGTCTCGTTGAAGCAAACTCCAGCGGACAACACGACGGAAAAGCATGCACACGCCAAATACCAACGCTACTTGTAGCAACCCCTGACGGAAAAGGAGGTGTATGGCATGGAGAACCTGGCCCTTTTAAGAATACCCTTAAACAAGTGGGTATTTGGAGGGGGCACACGAGTAAAGGAACGAAGCCGGGCTGCACCATAAAGCACATCCAGATCCTTTGGTTCCTTTGGTTTTAAAATAAAATATAGAGAGGCTCACCAAAGCGAAGAATCCCCGAAGCCAAAAGCCAACGAAAGCGGAAAGTGTGAGCTACGAGAAAAGAAACAAGTTGATATGGGGCGGCTGGTTCACTGAAGACCGCAGGAAGCCACTTTGAACACGTCGCCCCACAAAACTCAACCCCAAGGCTCCCCATTTGTTTTGGGCCCTCAAAATAGGTTGTTTTCAGTCCAGGTTCTTCATTGGAGGCCCGGGGGCCTGCATCGCAGGGTTCATGAGCTGGGCAAAAGCTACCCAAAGTCGGCGGTCCGCCTCAGCCACTACAGCGAACCACCTGTCCAACACCGAAAACAAGAAGCACGAGCTCAAAATCTTTGTTTGGGACAAGCCCTCAAATGACCCAATAGATGTGAAGGCCAAAGGCTCCCGGTTGATTTTGGGGCCCGAGTTAAGCACCAGGTTTGGAGACCCCCAAACACCTCCAGGTTGTCCAATGGAGGGGTTTGGGTCTTTCATTGGAAGCCGAAGCCAGGAGCCTCTGACAAGTCTCCTCCCGACTCGACTTGGGCGCCCTGCATCGCGTGGAGGGCGATGCCCAGACGGCAGAGCAGCGATGCCAGGGACAAAGCCTGGCCCGTGGTGTCGCCCGGAAAACCCACAAAGGGTGGTGCTTCAAATATAGAATCTGTTCATCCGCAAGAACTACAAGAGTTGGACAACCATAAAATTCAGCTGTTTGCACCAAAATCTTAAGGCGGGGAAATGAGACTCGGTCCTAAGTTTTGTTTCCGTTCCGGGTTCCCCCTTTGAATTCGCCAAATTGGGCGCTTGGGTCCAGCCATTTGGAACCTGAACATTTCCGAACACGCGGCGAGTGAATCCTCTTTGAGGCACTCTTTATGGAACAAACAGCCACGAGGTATACGCATTTCCCGGTTTGGAGTGGAGGTGCGAAATCTTCCCTCCGGGCTTTCCACTGCAAAGACAAACTCCGTTTTGAGTAGAGTGGGTTGACATCATACGCAGGGGGTTGGCTACGCCAACATATGACACAGTTTTGGAGCAGACTCGCAACTTGGCGATCCGGGAAGTTGGACATGGGAGGAAGCTGTTGCTGGGGGCACTGGATGGTTTGTGGTGGAAGAGCTTTTGTGTTCGGGTAGTGTAGCGTTTTTTGCAGGAGATTTGGGCTGACTGCCAGCAACCAGCGGAGAACGAGGTTGCCTGAACCAGTGACCCGTTCAAGGGGTGCAAACATGAAGCGCTAAAATACATGAAGCCGGCTCCGGAATGAACCAGCAACCTTTACATCCTAGCTTCGTGCAGCAAAAAACGATCGCAACAGTGACTGAACAAAACGATCGCAACTTGGCTATCCAGGTACTCACTTTCACCTGTACTTCGCCTTTGGCTAACTAATGCCCCCTGGTTTCCCGCCTACCTCATGCACCCTGCTTTAAGTGGCTCTTCGTGGCTCCCATTCGACGTCACGAGGGGAGAACATTGGTCGGCACACAAAAGAGCCGTGCCCAATTCCCGTTTCTATTGCTTGCACAAAGGCTCCAATTCGCCTGATTGAGGGCCTTCAAACCTGGTTTTGAGATTCCCAACCACCGGTTGCCGGGGCGTCTAACTAATGGGGTTTGGGTCTTCCCATGAAAGCCGAAGCCAGGAGTCTCGTGACAACTCCCCCCATGCCCCACGCCTCGGAGCCGGCCGCGTCCTGAAAAAAAACCCACCCGCGGTTCCACGTGTTTTGTTTTTGGGGGGCCCCTCCGAGGACTTGGTCGCGCGGGTTCTCCATGTGTTTTTTTTCTTGTTCTTTTTCTGTTTTTCTTCTTCTTTTTTCCATTTCTTCTTTTTGTGGGGTGTGCATTGGGTTGGAGAGGTCATGCGACATTTTTCGGGCAGAAGACTCGGAGCTGCAATCCGATTCTCCAAAAACTTCAGTGGGTGCTACCACGACTACCTGGCACCAGGAAGACGAGGACCAGCTCGATCAACAGAGGAGGACGAGGCTTCGGCGAGATTTGTTCTTTTGAATTCCCATATTTTAAGTTCTTATGCTGGGGGGCCGCAGTGTTTTGGATGGTTTGGATTCTGGCCCAGGGAGCCTGGCTTTCTGTTTCGGGATCCTCGCCTAAAAGACCGCGCATCCACAAAAAATCAGCACCAGGCACTGGAGCAACGCTTGTTTCCGACCCAGGGTGTTGCCAGAATGCGAATTCAAAAGGTGTGAATGCGAAAAAGCTGCCGGATGTAACCCGGGTGTTCTTGCTTGGCACTCAAAACCCCCGAAAACCAGCAGTGACTGAAAAAAGCAGCAACTTGGCTATCTAGGAAATAGCCAATCTGACTTCAAACCCAAAACCAACGGTTCCCGCCGACGACGACCAGGACGACACGTCCAGTAACTACCATCCCTACCCGAAGTAGGGTGCTTTGACTGAACAACTGAACAACTAACCACATGGGATTGTCAGCTCCCCCCCCCCCAGAGAAGGCAGCGCTAATAAACAACCCACATGCCAAGAACAGCGAAGCCACCCCAAGTGAGTTGTAAGCTGAAACGTGAGGCCGCAAAGAAAACACACCGCTCTCCTGCGGATATCGCCGCACTTCCTGCGCCACTTGCGCACAACCAGCTGGCTGGAAGGAGGCGTTGTTTTGTTTTTCCCCATGTTTCTTCTTGGTGCAGATGCAGCCATAAGCCAAACCAAATACGAGTTCCTGGGCTCGTTGATCCCTTGCTGAAAGCTGAACTTTGGGTGGGATGTGTCATGAACCCAAACTGAACCAACTACCAACATATGGGTGTGGCTCAAAATCAAAAGTCGGGGTTGCGCAGGTCTTGGTCTTGGTTTCCATTTGCCAAGGGGCCATTTTGGGTATTCCACGTTTGGAGCAGCCATATCTATTTGTCTAAGGGTATTATTGCTGAGCACCGTTGGGACAAGTGAGCTGCAGTCAGTCCAAGCCAAAAAGATACAGGGTTCCTTTTTGGCTCAAACAAAGACAAGCCGTTTCTCAAAGACAAGCCGTTTCTCAGAATAAGGGTTTCTTTCTTTTGGCTTCCCCGTAAAAGGGCTCAAAGGGGTGGCAACCATTGAGAAACACCCATTTTGGCTGAACCCACGCTCGTGGATGCCAAGCTGCAGGTAGCCCTTCTCCGTTTTTGTGCTTTCTACAGGGTGGCTCCCTTGGATCAGGTCCCCTTCACTTTCTTTGGATTTCACCCGGTTGAGGTGCAAAGGGAAGCCACCCCCGCACCTCCAAACCAAGGAAGCTGATCGGAAAATGGACACACTCCACCCGACTCCAAAGTGAAATCGTCCCCCGCTTTCTTCGGGGCATCTGAACCCTTGAAAAGGGATCGGAAGAGAAACCCCGGGAAAACCCATCCAGGGCCACAACCAATCAGAATACCCACAGACAAGAATGCCCACAAACACGTCCAACGAAAAAGAAGAAGAATCAAAAACACTCCAAAACCAGAAACAAAAGCCCCCCTCCTCTTGAACGCTCGAATAGGCGGTTTTTCCTTCCGGAAACGGACTCGACCTCGGCTCGCCTTGTGGCTCTCAGATCTCCAGCTCTCGCGGCGCTCCTCACGCTCTTCGCGAGTCGATGCGCGAGTCGGGAGCCCGTTGGGAGTTGTCGCTTGCGCATGGGACAAATGGACTCGTCAAAGATCGAACTTGAACGGCGGCTTTCCACCCTTTACAAAGAAACGCACATTTTTTGCGGCAGCCCCACCAAGTATAGAATGTTTGGGTGCTCGGCCGAGCAAGAGAGTTGCTGGTAACGTAGGCTATATCCCACTTAGAAGCCTCCTCAGGTGCGGTTAACCCAGTGATTTGTGGGTTTTTCACCCAGGTGGCTAACCACTTACTAATTTGACAATGAACATCCAAGTAACTTGGCCGACCCAAGTACTGTGGACGCAATCCGCGTTGGATTGACCTAGGTCCGTGCCTTGTCGTGGCTTTCGCGAGTTTGAAGGCTATGGAAGCGCCCTCCCTTTCTGGCTTCAACCACACCACTAGATGGAACGGCCGACTAAAGCAACCATACCTACTCGTTCAGTTGTGACAACCCTTTGCTAAAAAAGATATATCGGTATTTGCCCTGGACAACTGGGCATTCCAAAATATCTTAAACGGAGAGGGTATTCCGAGTTGGAAGGCAAGCCAGGCTAGCCCTTCTGTAGAAGATGGAAACCATGCGCATGCCTGACATTAGATGGTACCATGTCTTGGGTAAGAAAGGGGTTGACAACACGCAATGTGCCATCTACTTTCACCCAACTGCTCAGTTTCTGAGTGGATTGGCCAAACACAAAACTTCTTGTTTGCTCAACAATAGCGGGCGAAAAAAGGGTACCCATTCTGGGAACCCTGGTAAATGGAAAGGACTACCACCTGTCGTCTATTTGTGGTGTTTTAATTTTGATACCCAACTGGTCGAAAGGCAGAACGGTGGGCCGATCCATCAGGAACACGAGAAACCCTACCGTTTACAAGTATCCTAGTGAAGCGACCTGTGCAGTATGCACAAACAAACAAAAGCCAGAAGGTCTGGAAGACGGGTGTCTCAAGGCCAACTTGTACCTCCCTAGCGCTGGGGCTCTCAACCGCCCTTGGGGATTCCTAGTCTGTATCTGCTCCAAACAAGCGCTGTTGTGAGTTCGTATTTGTAGAACCCAAGTTGCAAGTACACCAACCCCTTCTTCGTAAAGGGTGGACGTCACCTTCTCCAAACCCCCTTTTTACGGGTATCTTTGGGGCATACCTCGTCTGGGTCCTCCAGTAGAGAGGTTAGAATAAGGGTACCAACCTTTTTTCCGTAGTCTAAATTTTAGTAGGGTTCGGAACCCTCCCAACCAAAAAAGGGGTGAGAAAACGGGCACCAATTGCTGGGGGACCTAATCGTTCTCTAGCCTGAAAAAAAGCGTTGGTATGAGCAGGGCTTGGTGAGGCGTGGGCGTGGCTTCAAAAAAAGTCTCGGTCCCGGCGGTTGGCATTCGCCTTGTCGCCGCGCAAAGCCTCGGAGGCTTCGTTGCGAAACCGTCGCTTGGGGAGGCTCCGTAGTCCCAAAACGTGATCAAAGTCAGCCCCTGGCAGGTGAAAGGGAAACAACCCCCCCAGTTTTCTGACTTTAATATCAGAAGCAGTCAAAATGATTCCCACCAGAACATGGGCTTGTTCATTTCCCCAACAAAAAGTGGTGCACGAAGCAGCCAAGCGTTTTCTTGGTGGGCTTGGTCTCAAAACGGGCGAGTTCCCCATGCATCCGAATGTTTCAAGAGAAGCCAGGAGGTTCCCCTTTGAGACAAACCCACATGGGTTCTCTCAAACGGGGCGGAGCCTCACGGTCGCCTTCTTGTTTCTGTTTTTGATCGACTGGGAGGTCGGTTTAAAGGACTGGGGGCCCCCTAGTTTGCCGCAATCCCGTATCGCTTTGAGGCTGACCACACATTCTTTCTGAAGTACACCGTTTTAGTGCGACATGGTAGAAATGGGACAGAGCATTTTTTGTGAAGTTCACTACACGAGAAGGAAGTAGAGGTTGCTGCTGAACTGTGGAACACTGTTGATCGCGACTCTGTAAGGCCTACCAAGCACTTAGCTAGGTCCTAGCCTACACAAGCAAATCTGCGAGTGAAGGGAAGTTGTTGAAACAGTTGAGTCATACTCGATTCCTAGTATTAAACTGGCCTACCCAGAAATATGTAAAGGATGACAAAGGCGGACATATCCGCACCCATCAAATGGCCAGGGGAATTGAGCAAGCCCCGGCTAAGACGGCATCATTCTCGCTTCCGAGATCCCTGGACTTGGCCCAAAAACAGCTCCGGCGTGGTCCCAAGAAGTGACGACCGTCCGAAATTGCGGAGCACGGGGAGTGAGATTTTGCCATTCCTCTCATCTTCCCCCGAATGAAGCGAAAGAAAACTCCCCCGCGTCGAGCGCTTGTAGGGCGAACCTCGGCGGAGAGTCTGCAGTCTTCTTCGGGCAAAGGCTTTGGGCCTTTTCCAGTTTCTGGCAAAATGACTGGGGAAGTTGCCCAAAAGCAACCACAATCAAATCATGGCCCCTTTGAGGGATCCAGTACGCCTGCTCAACTTCTAGGCGACACTTCCCCAGTCTTTCCAGGGATCCGAATCTTTCCAGAAAACCATCAGAACCCCAGGGGAAACGGATCCGGTTTTTGAAAAGAACGATGGTTGAACAGAATGGACAAGGAATCAACGGATGACAAACAACCTGGAATCTCCTTCTGACCCTTTAGAAATGGTTGGTCAGACTCTGCAGAATTAAGAACCGGGTCAATTGACCCCTTTTTCTAACTTGAGAAACCTCAACTCACCGTGACCCTTGGGGTGAAAGGTGTCGTGGACCCCTCGCGGTTGGCTTGCGAGCCCCCCGGCGGACTGGGACTTGGTCGGCCGGCTCCTTAGATCCCGAGACGTCCATCGGCGTTGCCCAAAGATGGCGTTTCAGTGACTGAAAAAAAAAAGCGAGCGCAACTTGGCTATCCAGGTGGTGCTCAGCAGCGAATGAGAAATGCAAGGACCCCGAACAAAACCATCCAACTGGTGGTTTACCTAGGTCCAGATTTGAGAGGCTAGAATAAGGGTACCAACTTGTTTTCTGTAGTCTATTGTAGGGGAACCCTCCCAACCAAAAAAGTTACATTAAGAGGGGGCACCCAGCTGGGGGGACCTAGTCACTTTAGGGACCTCCGGGTTCCTTCCCTCATTCCCTGAGCACCAGAAAGATCAGGATGGCCTCCAAATTCAGTGGGCCCGTTTCGGGTGAAGGTCAGACAGGTACACGGATCTTCTCTTGAAGCGATACTCACGAAAACGGTTTGGGCTACGCAAAAGCGTATATTCTGAACTTATGGTCCACATCGCTAAGCTAAACGACATATTTTTGGAGGAGAGCCCAGTTGAATTCCTAATGAATTGGAATTCGACCCAACAACAAAGCTTGGGGTTTTGGGACACAGTGAAACCACATTCTGTCATGAAGTACCCATTACTCCAAGTGTTTTGCTTGGTATCTTGTCAATCTCTGACCGAAACAGGGATCGGTATTTAGCATGGAACACCGACCGGTTCTCATAACACACATGCCAAATCTGCAGCTTAGTTATGAGGCAAAAACAGAGTACACCCCTGGATCGCCGGTTGCTGTTTTCCATCCACATTACCCCAAAAACCAGCAACAGTGACTGAAAAAAAACAGCAACCTGGCTATCCAGGCGCTTTCATCTAGTTTGGCTTTTCAACACAAATACCAAGGGGGAGAATCTCGCACCCCTGCTCTGTGCTCACATGACGCCATTTGAAAGCGCTGAATCTGCTGGGTAGAAACAAAAGGTTTGCATGCAGAAACTCAGCAGACTATGCCGACCTGTACCCCACTCGAAACGCCAAAAGCAAAGTACCTCCTGTAAATGGACACAATTCTGCACCATTTGGTATAAATATGAATCCCAATTTGAATACTGGTTGATAAGCCAATTCAAACCACTGGTGCAGAATTCTGTGCATCCACAGTACGAATAAAATGCTTTTGACCCAACCACTCGGGGTTGCCAATTCATTTTTCGGCAGGGATAAGGGAAGAACAGGGAGGATTCAAGGGGGTCAGCTTTTCAAGCAAGGGCTTCATCTCATGGACCTGGCCGTCACCTATTTCTTAAACCCTCAAGGATCCTCGGCTCCAAGGATAGCAAGTTCCATTGCAAGTTGCCATATTTCGATGGCTCCTTGTGCCCGCAAACCCAAGCCGCAGCAGCAGGGCGCGCCATGTTTTTCTTCTTTTTTCGTGGTTCGATGTCGGCGCTGCGTAGCAGTCGCCCGATGTGATGAACCTGGAAGAAATGCGAAAAGACTGGGTTCAAAATGGGAGATACCTTCCCCCCCTTTAAACTCCAAATATATCCGCGTTTTTTTTCAGGTATCATGCTGACCCCTGACTTGAAAAAGGAGACCGGTTTTTCAAAACTCCTTAACTCAATGGTACTTGTAGTAGGAAGTATGGTCTCCTTTTAGGACCTTGAACAAACCGGAACTCAAAGGGTTCCCCTCAGAAACCGCCTCCTTCCTCCGGTGTTTTCTGGGAAGTTAACACATTTTAGAAGGACACCTGCCAAACCCGCAGACATAGTTGATCAACATGCAGTCCCGGATCCCCTAAAGCCACTCCATAGTCCGTGGGACATCACTAAGCACCAAACCCCTCAACCACGCAATACCCAACTATTTTCAGTTGGCATGTCAGCCCGTTGCTATAACAGGAGGTATTCACCGGTTTACCAGGGTTTCCAAAAAATACCCTGGAAGACACGTGTATTTGGTAGGGGGAGGCTTGATTTGGGGGTGTCCTGAAAAGGGCGGACCCCAGACAAATGGATCCCTGAAACAAACTAATCAAGGTCACGGAAGACCGTCACGAACTCAGTTGCCCCAGTTTGGATCCAGAAACAACAGGTCAACCTTTCGGGGTTATGAAGAACCATGGATCAAAAGGAGGACACTAAAAGGGTTGGGCATTACTCCTTGTGGTGGATTCCTCCTGAAGGTCATTTCAAGTGGATCAAACTTTGGATCAAACACGGGGGTCATTTCAGGTGGATGTGCTTTGGGCAAAGTGACACGGCCAGCTCAAGGGAAACACAACAAGGTGAATGGCTCGATCACGTGCAGTGTCCCCTTTAAAGGAATATCCAGGTAAGCCGGGGGGTCAACCGCCGGGTTTGATCGATGTGGAACAAATGATAACAAATGCTTGGCTGACGTTGAAGGGGGAGCCAATTTGTAGATTTTAGCAGTTCAGTGGTTGGATTTCCACCACTAAACCACAACAAGCAACATATGTAAAAAAACAAAAACAAAGAGAAAACGTTTCCAACAACAACCATGAATGGGTTGCAGTTCCCATGTCGCGATTGGAGCTTCGGTAGGATTCGTGGACCCGCCAAACAGGTTTCCGAAAGGTCCTGACTGGCTGACCAGGTTCCTGGCCTTCAAAAAAAGGGGGTTTGACCTTTCAATTGCTTCTACGTCCCCTGGAAGAAGTATATTTTTTCAGTGATAGGTTCCGACTTGAACACCAAGGGAAAATACCACGGATTCATCTCAGCAAACGGAAGTTGACCCTGGTGGTCCCATTCAGCGGTTCCCATTTGACGGGCCCGCGTGTCTATGAATTTGGGCCGATTTCACGCCCTCGGCGAACGGGAGACGCGGCGAGGTGTCGCTTGGTGCCTTGTCCTGAATCTCTGCCACCACTTTTGAGGTGTTGAGAAATTCCTGGCGCTTCGGTTTTGGTCCCTTCGTTTTTCTTCTCCGAGTAGGAAGTCAACCCTCGAGCCTCAAGAAGAGCTCCAAAAACCAACTGCACCCCCTTCCCCCCCCTCCTTTGGCAACCGCCCAACGAGAAGATATCCTGACATCAACAGCGAGTCGAAGTGGCGAACCCTGACACCCAACATGGTACAGCATGCAGAAAGGTTTGGCCCCGCAACAAAAGGTTCCCTTGTACTCATCTTTGGGGGATGAAACTTTTGCCTCCCCAACCACACCTTCATTTGGGACCCGTTTCCCTGGGAGTTAAGCCATGAAAACACAAGGCTCAAAGGCAGACCGCCATAGTTTATGTCACCCATTGTTTCGGATATCATAAACAGCTCCAAGCCCGGCTCCGTGTCAACTACCCCACGTAGAAGCTGGCAGCTGGATCGATCCCTTTCGAATAACAGAAGAAAAACAAACTCGCTTGAGTGGATGAGCCAAAAGACTCCCACGCTTGTTGTAAATTCACGTCTCAGAAAGTGACCTTCTGTCCGAAACGGGGGGTTCGGTGGGGTTAGGTGGGGTTTGGTTGGGTTGGGGAACCCGCCAGTTGCTGTTTAGTTCCATGCACTTTACCCCCAAAACCAGCGACAGTGACTGAAAAAAGCTGCAACATGGCTATCAAGGTAGTCCACAGTAAAGTGACATCAAAAGTATCAAACGCAAAGTTGAGAGCCAGCAGGCGCCATCAACCGCTTCGACGCAAATTCGCATAGGTGACCCAAGCTGGAAACAAATAGCATAAGTTTGCCTGGTACATGGATGGCATACCCATCTAAACCAGTGGAATGTGGAATCTCGCTTGCTTTCTGCTCCCCTGCTACAAGTTTAACTTTTAGTGGTTTGATGGAAAACCCATTAGTTGGCAAAAAGTTAAAGTCCTAACATCCAAGCAACATGCAACAAAGGAACCCATCTATTTCACTGCACCAACCGATGAAAAGGACACCTCTGCTCCTGACAACTGTGCCCCATTCAGCCAGCCTTGCGACCCATCGGATTCAATCGGACTCGATTTTCTCCCCATTCTGCCAGTATCAAAGTCACCCAAATAGTACCAGTTTCTGACTTTGAGGGATTTTGACCGCTCACAGTCAAAGAAACAACTCCCACCTAGATAGCCAAGTTGCGATCGCCTTTTTCAGCCACTGTTGCGATCGATTTCTGGGGTAAAGCGCATTGAAACAAACAGCCACTGGTGATCCAGGCAGTGTTCTTCCAACCCCCTGGATCGCCAGTTGCTGCTTTTTTCCACGCACTTTACCCCAGAAATCGATCGCAACAGTGGCTGAAAAAACGCGAAAAAGCAACTTGGCTATCCAAGCCCTTTCTTTGAGAACCCCCTGGTCCATGATTGACCGTCCCTGACCGTCCTGATCGATGCGACCCTCGATCGATTCTCCTGGCGGAAGAGCGCCATGTCGATGTTGCGGGCCGCGCCTTTGAGGCGGGCCACCCCCAGGACCAGATCCTTCGCGTTCAGGTCCTTCCGGCTTCGGAGTTGCATCGCATCGGAGGAGCGAGTCTGGGTTCCGAATTTGGGGAGGGAGCCTCGGGGTTCCCGTTTGGGGGGTTTTCAAGGGACCCAAAGGAGGGTGCCTAGATCGCCAAGTTGCTTTTTCGCTTTTTTGCAGTGACTGTTGCGATCGGTTTTTGGGGATTTGAGTGCATGGGAAAAAGCGATCGCCACTGGCGATCCAGGATGGGATCGAAACATCCGGAGGTCTCGGTTCCCAACATCTGGGGGTCTTAGGGAAACCCAAAGGGGGGGTGGGGGTTAAAGGGAAAACAACAATTGAAAAACCGTTGGGGGTCCGATTCCGTGAAAAAAATAATAACAACAACCCTTCCAGACTTGTTCTGAAGAGGATCCTCAAGTTGGGAAAAGAAAAATACGCGGCGAGCCATGTTTGTGGCTTCAAAGCAGTGTTTGTCCTTTTTCAGGAATTGGATCCCGCCAAAGAAACGCAAACAACTTGCAAAAAGTTGACCCCACCGCAAAAAGTTTAACTTCTTGCGGATTTAAAGGGAACCCCCTTGATTTTCCAAAAAGTTAAAGTCTAAAGATCCAACCCAACAACAGTCAAGACAAGTGGTACTTGAATGTTCGGCCAAGCCAGTAACCTGCTTACAAGTCCCCCGTTCAGTGGAGCTCCTACGAGCTCGGCGAATCGAAGACCCAAGTACCCTCAGCAAAAAGACAGACATCCAGATGTGGATCAACTTGGTTGACGTTGGAAGGGGAGCGAAAGTTTAAGTTTTAGCAGTTCAGTGGGGATTTCCCACTCAACCACAATAAGCAAAAATGCAACATGCTTCCCAACAACCCTGCCAAGAGGATACTCCAATTAGCCTGAAGGGAAGCTTCTTAAGAGCCGGCCCCTTCAACAAAAAGGACAAAACCCCCCATCGCTTGCGCCCCCGCCTGCTTGCCGACGGCGGAGCAGATCAGCTCGTGAACCAGCGCCTTACGAGGGAGATTTGAAGCCATCCGAATCCCCTCAAGAAAATGCCTGGATCGCCAGTTGCTGTTTTTGTCCATGCACTTTACCCCAAAAACCGATCGCATCAGTGACGTCTGAAAAAAGCGATCGCAACTTGGCTATCTAGGTGGAAGGCCCAGAGCCAGAAGGCGGCTCTTGGGGGGCAGGGCCTGGGGGGGGGTTCCCGAAGGCTCCCTATGGAACCCTAAGGGACTTGTTGAGACAAGGGGAATATCACCCAGCAAAATGGAGAACATAGACCACAGGTGACCTTTTGGACAAATACAGTAGATGGCCCTGGTAATTGACCTTTCCAACATTTTGCCTAAACCAGCGGAACCCATCTATTTCGAACCAAACTAACCTACAAACACACGCATATGCATACTTCGGGAGAGAAACATCACGAGGTGACTTCCAATTGGGGTGACCTGGATAACGAAAAAAACTACTAACTTTGAACATGGGGTGAACTAAACCAAGTTGGTATTGGGATCAGGGCGTGTGTATTAAATTAGGGGACCCCCCCCCCCCATGGCTGGTCTCAACGGTGTGGCCGAACCAGATTAAACCACCGGTTCCACGAATAGGGGGCTGTTCCCTCCAAAAGTGGTCTGAACACCCACTAGAAGGGGGGGCCGTTTCTTTAGAATAATCTAGAGCTTCTACTTAGATCCGGGGGTTCCCATTCCAACAGGAACCCAGGGTTCGTGGGAGGTGCAGTTGGTTAAGTCGACTGGAAACAAAAACACAAATCTCCAGCAGTCACAAATTCCCTTAAACCCAAAGGGGAAAACAAACGCATTCTTTCAAATAAGGGAATTCCCATACTGGACATGGGAAACATATCATCTTTTTTCCACTGGACGAAAAAAAAGCAAATGGAGGTGTCATGGAGCCCAAATACCGCTATACCACATGTTTTTTTTCCATGAGCCGAAAAAAAATGGAGCTCCGAAAGCCCGAACAAAAAGATAAACATTTTTTTTTTTATTTTTAACAAACTTCCGCCAAAAAAATCAAATCGCTCCGCTCCCTGGGCGATGTGGCTTCGTCTTGATGCCGCCGAGGCGCCGCGTTGGAGACGTCCAAGCCCATGGCGGAGAGCCACAGCTGCACCGAGTAGTCGTCGCAGACCTGGCGACGTAAAGGCGCGGAACGCGGGCGCTGAAGGCGCGGGAGGGCTGTTTCGTCTCGTTGTTCCCCCCCCCCCCCAAAAAAAAAAAGGGCACCCGCATTTTTTCTTCTTTTTGAGAAACCCCCCCCAATAAGGGCAACCGCATTCTTTCTCTCTTTTTTTTGAGAAACCAGCTCCAAATAATTCCAACACTCTTGTTGTTTTCCCCCGAAATGAGGGGGCACCTGGAAATCGCCCAAGGTGCGATCGCTTTTTTTCAGTCACTGCTGGTTTTGGGGGTTTTGAGTGGATGGAAAAAAGCGATAGCAACTGGCGATCTAGGCACCCGCAAAAAACTGGGGCACCCTCCCGAAACCTTTTCCAGCTGTCAGCCCTCGACCAAAAAAGGGGATCGTGGTATTTTCCCGAGGGAACTTCCAAGGTCTTCCCAAACAAACACCAACACTAAAAAGGCAACGGGTATACGGCTACCGTGGAGAAAAAACCAAAAAAACATCGGAGCTTCTGCTTGTGAGGCAGAATTGGAGGTGCCAAAGTGACACGGCACCCTGCGGTTGCCGCGTGGAAATGGTTTTCGACCCTCTCCGGTGATGATTCGGTGCTTTTCTTGGTTGACGTTGGAAGGGGAGCAAAAACTTAAAATTTAGCAGTTGAGTGGTTGGATTTCAACCACTACACCACAATAAGCAAAAAATAAACGTTTCCCAACAACCATGATGAGCCCTCCAAGCCTCATGGCTCACCCAGACCCGGCAGAACTCAATTCCCTTGTCGGACCTGGACACTGGGACCTTGCCCGTGGGCGTCGGATTCGGTCAATTCGCTTCAGTTGCAACTGAGCAAAACAAGGGGAAACAACGACTGAGAAGACCTGGACCCGCAAAATCCCGGAAAAAAAAACTGGGATGGCCCAAACTATGGTTGGTGAATTCCCTTTTGCACGGGTAGTGCGAGGGTACCCCTTTGTACAAATACCAACTTTTTTCACCCACTGAAAAATGGTTTGGATTTTTACGCGAAGGACAACCGTGAAAAGTGCGATGGCTGAAGAGAATGGGGAATCAACCCCTAGACGAATGGTCCAACCCTCAAAACTTAAGTTCCGGAACGCAGGACTCGAACGTGAGTTTTGTTTTTTGGGAGTTGGCGTCCTTGACGCTCTTTTTTCGGCCAACGAGCTCCAAGACTCGCGTCGCGCTGGGGAACCCCCGAAAATTGCGGTACCTGGAACCCTCACTATCCATCAAACACTCACCATTTTTATTTTATTTTTTTTTTCCGGGCACTATCCCAAGTGCCACTTTCCAGGGGCTTGCCTTACAGAACGTGAGCCTAAAATCCCAATCTCCCACCAGTCCACCCTCAATTTAAATCGAACCAGGGATTTCACCCATTTTCTTGGGCCACTCTCCAACCTGTTTACGTGTATTTTGGCCTTCGTTGACGTTGGAAGGGGAGCACACATCCAAATTTTAGCAGCTGAGTGGTTGGATTTCAAATGATTTCAACCACTAAACCACAATAAGCAAATGTAAAACATTTTTCCCCAAAAAAAGATGTGGCGCTCTCCCACTTATTTGCTTTCTCCGACTTTGCGGTTTTTCTGCTTTGTTCCTCCTCTTCGGAGGTATGTTTTAGGCTCCCGGCCGCGCGAGCTCCGCGCCGATTCTTCGAGGCGCCCCCGCCTGCAGCCACTCCCCGAGGTCCAGGCGCCCGGAGCCGTCGAAGTCTGCGGCTTTGAACAGCGCCGTCCTCGAAGCCGCGCGCGGCCGAAGGAGGCGGAGGGCGTGTGGCGAGCTGTGGGTTGGCACAAATTTGAACTTTAAAACACGGAAAAACCTGCGGGCTCTTCAAAGTTGCTTTTCTTCAGTTCTTTGTGTTAGAGAAACAGTTTGATCGTTTTTTCCTGCTTTGCAATGCTTTTGAACTATTTGTTTGTTTTTGTTTCCCTGGCGGGGAGGGTGGTGCGGGCGGGGGTTAGTTCGCAAGTTGGAGATGGTTTCCATCATATGGGGCCGCAACTCAAACATGTTTCTGGACATGGAGCCCTGGCACAAGCGAGTTCAGGCCTCCGATTGAGGAGCACAGCTGAGGGAAAGCCGCGGCTTTTTATGGATTGCCGGGAAAGCGACAAGCGGAACTGATCCATAAGTGTACCTTTTTTTTGTAGTTTATTTTAGTAGGGGAACCCTCCCCAAAAAAGTGTAAAAGGGCACTACTGGGGGACCTAGCTTTCTTCCAGGAAAATGGCTCCCCACCCAACCACCGATTCGCCTCCCAAACACCACCGACTTCGGCTCGCTCGAATCGCATTCGAGGCACATCTTCGCCACGTGTAGTGCCAGGGCGCGCTCTTTCTGGTTGATCCTCAATCGACACGTCGCTGGAGAAACCAAGGGTTGACCCCTCTTCTCTCACCCCGAGAGACCAAGAGGAACAGATCTTGAAAAAACTGAATTTCTGCAAGTCCAAGGCAGAGCGTTGCGTTCACCTGAATCCTGTCCTCTTTGACCTCTTCCCGGCAAGAGGTCAGGAGATAGATGTAAACCCTGGATACTACTTTAAAGGCAAACGAAGGTAACATCTTAAAGGTAACACAGGTCTGAGATCCCCTGCTATAAGTGAATAACTTTTCGTGTCTTAAATGGACACCCCCCACTAAACCCCAGATAAAACCTAAGAGCCAAGCTGGGAACCGCCAAAGGGTCATATGGTAGATGTCTAAACGGCGTTTTCCTTCGAGGGATCAACAAAGGTTGCATGCCAGTGCTCAAAGCAAAAGTTCACTTTTGCTACCAGCATTCTCCAAGCAATAAAAAAGAGGTGCGACATCTCATCGTTGGTCGCATCATATTTCACTTCTGCCCAAAAACATGTCACCACACTCTGGATTGCCTGCATGGTTCGCCTTCCCAAACAGTGACCTTCATGCACCAATCAACCCTCAAGCTCGCCAATCCCCGACACACACATCAGTACCTAACATCCGGCTCATCTGAAAACCCATGTCACCTTTGGGATAAAATCAACACGGCCGTCCGGGAGTCCCGGAAGCTCGAGCGCCTCGATTTTTATCGCCGAAGGCGCATGATGGTGTTGTCTGTCTGCGCCACCGAGAAAGTCTCTTGCACGAAGACCCCCGTAATCACCTGAGAGCTAACACCCGCGAGCTACGAGGCCGCCAATCTGTTCATGCCGGGCCGCCAAGGCGTTGTTTGAGGCGAAAGGTGCCCTTTGGCACGTTGGCTTCAAGACCAACAAGGGGAACCACTGGCTTGGGGGGGGGAGGGGGGTTCTTTTTGGCATAAAGCCGAAAAGCATTTTCTTTGGGTCCCGGTAGTAGTGGAACCCCTCTAGAGTTGAACTTGGAGTCGGTGGGATTCTGGAAAAACACAACTAAGGGTACGAGCAAACGGTCGATCACAGTTTGGAGGTTGAAATCGGAAAACCGCTTGCAGGCAAAATACAATTTGTCGTCATGGGGTTTTTCAGAGAGCACGTTGCCAAGCCCCGTGGAACCATTTCTTTCCCGTTGGCTGTGTATTTGGTGGGTTGGCTTGATTGGGGATTTGAAACCCAGTTCCTTTGAAGCCAAATGGTGAGGGGTGGGTTCCCAAGCAACCAGGACACCCCCCAAACAATTGGAGCGTTGCCCCGCTTGGTTGCGAGAAACGAAAGGTGATCACCTTATCTTTGTTGCCAAAAAGAAGGGTGAACAAGTCGATTCGCTTTGGGCTTGCGTGAGATATGGCGAAGTTCTCAGAACGCTGCTCAAGCCCAAGTGAGAGCCGCTTTTCGGCTGGGCTGTCAGTTTTCCGATCTTCAGCAAAAATATATTTGCTTGTGGGTTCAATGGAAACCCAACCGCTAACCAAACCCCTAAATAACCTACGGAGATGGCTGGGAGCCACCAAGTAGAGCGGCATTATGGGGCACCCTTAACACTAAACTAAGTCATGATCGAAAAATACTACTGTGGAGCTTGACACATATTTAGCCGTATGCCATATCAAGTTGCATATTTTGTCCGCCCTTTACAACACAAGTGCAGACTTCGCGCTATGGTCCAAACCCAAAACAAGTACGTCCAGGGTTCAGGGAGTGTGGGGATCTGATGATCTGACCCCCGAAAATGGGCTGCGGCTTTGCCTTTGACTTTTAACCAACACAAACGCACACACACACACACACCCAAGTGTCCTAAATGAGGCTGATCTGTCCGACTTGGCTGTCATTTTTTGTTGAACCCCTTCTCCTTCGTGGTTTAAAGGGACACCAAATGGAAAACAAGTTTCGACTTCCACTATTTTGACACACACCTATGTCTTCTTCGGGGTGGGCCATGTCTGTCTTTATATCCGCTCACAACACAAAAACACACACACACACACACCTTATCCGCATATGTTAGTCAATCAACCTTGAACACCGAAATGGTGGCTTGCTCTTAGATTTTCTCCAAACAACCCCCCCCCCCCCCACTTGGTTGACGTTGGAAGGGGAGCAAGAACTTAAATTTTGGCAGTTAAGCGGTTGGATTTCAACCACCAAACCACAATAAGCAAATGTAAGACACGTTTCCCAACAACAACCATGTGGCACTCTCCCATTTTTTTCCGGACATATTTTCTCCAAACACACACACACACACACCCTCCCCCCCATGTTACTCGCTTGCCAATGCTCCATGACCACTGCGAAGCCGATTACCAGCTTGTGGATCAGGGCGAAGATGACCTCGCGTCGGGTGGCCGAAATTCCCGGGACGGATCTCGTTGGCTCCTCTGAAAGTGAATCATTTCTTGTGGGTTGAATGGACTTCCCCCAGGAAATCCCAACCACTAAATCCTCTGACAGTGAACAACTTGTGGGTGGAATGGACCTCCCCCAACCACTAAACACCCAAAAACGCTACAGACATGGCTTGAACCCAGAGAAGGTGATTGAAGAGCAAATTGCCGCGTGTGCCAATCGGATCGAATAAGTAAGGGATATCACCCGGCCCAGTGGGAGAAACAGGAAAGCAAGCCTGAGATACGAGGTATCCCCCAGCAACTTGGGGGAACATGGGGTTTGATGATTGGTGCAGGTTTACAGTCGTCCCCTTGCTGAAGTTTGTTTGCATGGCTTGCAAAGCTTGACCGGTAGACTCCGGGGAAATGGGTGTCTGAAGACAATGGGTGAGAATGAGGAGGCAGCCCTTCATTTGTCTTTCGGCTCCTTAGTTCTTCGCAGACCAAACTGGGTGTTTCAGTGTTAAGGAGTCTCCCCAGAACCCAGGGTTCATCTCCTTCGTCTGATGTGCTTCTTTTTTGGGTTCAAGGTATCCTTTTTGGGGGGTTTTGTATTGGTGGCAACCACCCATTTGGGGGTTCCAAACAACGGTTCCGTTGGTTGCCTTAGCCAACAATTTGTTTTCGCGCTTCAGAGTTGGCTCTCTTGATCAACAACAAGCTGTATTTATCATGACACCAGGTTTTTCCAAAAGTACCAAGTACAGGAAGTGTAGGTATTGGTGTCGGGGGCACTCCCTGGATAAATGGCCCCTCAAGCTGCAGATCTTATCTACCTATACCTCACTTACCTAATGTCGACGCATTTTTTTGTTTCAAGACGTCCTAGACATACGGGGATGTCCCCTCCAAAAGTGAAGAACCCCGGACCCCTTCAGATCAAAATCAACCCTCTCGTTGGATCCGGGGTTCCCATCAACCTACTTTCCTGACCTACCTTACTAACACGCAGTTGTCCAGTTTGGTCCTGAAGGTGATCATCTTTTGGGGCCATGACTAAAATGGTTGCCACAAAGTGGAAAATCAACAGATCAAATCTGGTCGATTCGCTGTTGGAAGTGCTTACAACACCCCCTACACCCATATGCCCACTTTATTGAGGGTATGATGGAGGCATTTGCCTTGGAAAACCGATCGGTCTTCCAAAAGTACCAACTCAAAAAGGCAATGAGTAGTTGGAGCTTGAAGGGGGTACAACTCTCCCTGGATCCAAGTGAGACACAGCCCATGTGGCAAAACCAGGTCCCCTGAAACGAACGGATTTTCTGCTTTTCCTGTTGGTTTTCTTAAGACAACCGCCCAAACAAAAGGGTTGCTAGTTCCTACGGTGGATGCAACCCCGAAATATTGCTCAAGTAAATCAAGCCCTCAAACTACCCATAGTTGGATTTCACCAAGCATCATTTTGGGTTGCCATAGCAAACAAACTGGTTGGCGCTCACCAGGGAATGTGGGAATGAGCCCAGGGATTCCCTGAACGGAATCCCGGAAGCCACCAGAAAATTTTTTGTCTTTAAGGCTCCTTCCTCTCATTGCCTCTCGAACACCAGCAGATGCGATCCTCCAAACGCCATCCTTGGGACCTCTTGGAGCCCTGAAAATGGGCTCCATGTCAACCTGAAAATGGTGAACCGGAGGGACACCTCCGTTTTTCGACCCCCAGCAAGGAAACGAGTTCACCCTTTTTCGAGTTCACCCGCATTTCTTGAGTTGGCATTTTGTGGGGACCTTGTCTTAGGCAAATACCATGATCCCTTTTTCAGTGAAGGAAAAAACAAATCCTTTTGCGCGGCGAAGGGGCGTAGATCTCGGAGACGTCCTGCATCATGAGGCGGGTGACCGGTACGAAGTTGCCCAAGGTGATCTCCTCGAGCGATCGGAGCGGATCAACGAGACAAGTGGCGACGGTGCTCGGAGTCTTTTTTTGGGTGAGTTAGAAATACCTGGATCGCCAGTTGCGATCGCTTTTCTCCATGCGCCGTACCCCAAAAACCAGCCACAGTGACTGAAAAGAGCAGCAACTTGGCTCTCTAGGTAGATGGGTTCCGCTGGTTTTCATGGGTTTTATCTTTTCATGGCTTACTTTGGGTAGAAAAAGATGGGTGAACAACTGGTTTAGATGAGTTTTGCACGATCCACTCACCAGGGAAACCCATCTATTCTTGAGCAACAGGTGACCTATGGTGATGACTTCAGCCGGTGAAAAGGGAAACGAAAGGAAACCCGTTCGAGCAATGTCCAAACCCGGATTTGTCAAGGGTGGATTCATAGGGGGGCTCTTTCTCCCAGTGATCAACAGCGACTTGGACTCCCTCACTCCAAATCGATTCATTCACGGGGTTGCTCCGCCCAAACGCCCGCAGGAGGTTTAAAGGGTCGTGATTAGCCGCTTGTAGGAACTCGCTTCCGAACGAGTGGGAAAAAGACACCAGCTCCCATATTTCTTCTTCGCCACTAAAATGGTCCAACCCCCAAACTGTGACACACACACACACCAGTCCCAAACCCAGGGAGGAAGTTCATTCGGAGCCACCTTCTGGAAAAGCCAAACAGGCTTCTCGTGGCCTTGGAGGGCCATTCGGCACCCTTAAGACCAAAATTGCCAAGCCCGGAGATGTGGATGGACGAATTGGGGGCGATTTGTTCCAAGTGATTAATGGATTCTCCAGGTTGATTTCAGAGGGAAGACCTTCCCAACAGCGACACAGTAACTTTTCTTGTTGTCTTTGTGACTTGAGCCATTTTTTCAACACCGATTGGTACAAGCAACTCGTGCCCCCTACTCCACGTGCCCGGCTCTTTTGAATGACTATGTTTCGGGAAACCGATTTCTCTTTCTTTTTTTTCCAAGGCAAATACAACTCCTGTTTTTCGTCAAGGCTTCACATCATACCCTATCATACCCGTACAACATGGGAATTCGCCAACCCTAACTTTGGGCTGCAAGGACCCATTTGCAAGGGTAGTTCATTTTGGGTCGGGTGCGTCAGCTTAGGAAACCAGAAAGGGTGGTTGCGCCGGTGTGCCAACATGGAACATGAACACGGCGGACCTGACGAATCTTAGAGGCGCTACCGCTCGAGTTGCTGCACCAAAATCGAACCGGACCGATCCAATGCTCGCAGACTGCCCGCACACATACGTGAACTCTGTGGGGAAGTGCGCCTCTAAACCAATCTCGTCAAGCAACTGACGAGAAAGGGGGCTTTAAAGGAGGGCCCATGCTTCTCATGCTTCTTGGCTCTTCCGAGCTCTGCTAAACGTCGAACACTTTTAGTGTTTTCATGGAAGCTAAAACCTAAACACAACTAACAACCTAAACAGCATAAGGAACCGGAGCGCTGGGAGCCGCTCGTGCTTAAGGTACTGATATGGTCCAGACCCAAGCTTCAAACGGGGGAAGTAAGTCGCCTAGTTTGTTTCACGAGATCCGAGCCACAAAGAGCGTGAGCATCGCGCGGGTGAAGGTGCCGTAGTAGGAGTACACTGCGTGCTTGTCTCCTGAGAACGTGACAAGGGGTTCATCAAAAGTCCTCTGCAATGACATCTTGGCAAACCCACGTACCAGAGGACCTTCCATGGGCAAAGTTACCCATGGTGATTTGAAATTGAACGCCCTACTTGCCCAGCTTGCAAAGAACAAACATGTGATCATCTTTTGGAAGCTTGACTAAGCATGGGCCAAATCGGGGAAACCAAAAGGTTAAAGCGGCAAGTGCTTGGACGTGACAAGTTAGTAAGTGGTTAGCCACCTGCGTTCTAATACAACAATGACAAGGCTAACTCCACTTGGGCTGACTTGTAAGTGGGCTACAACCTACCCCCTACTCCAATAGACATACCCTTAAACAAGCGGGTATTTGGAGTAGGGGGTGGGCTATAACCCAAACGACCAACAACTCGCAAACTTGGCGAATCGAAGACCCAAGTAATGTGGTGAGCCACCTTGGTGAAAAAACCCACCAGCAACATGGCTAGCCCCACTTGAGGACTGCAAACCACGGGGTCTTTTCCCGTTCCCGGTACAACTCACCGTGGCGAATCGACCCCGGAAGCTTCTTCGCCGCGGAGCCTGGAAGTGCCCACAGGTTTAGGGGGCCGGACTGTAAACGGTCTGGGAACATAAGGGGTCCAAAGAAATGGTCGGAAGTCGTATATGTTGGTCCTCCAGATTTGAGAGGTTAGAATCAGGGTGCCAACTTTTTTTTTTCTGTTGTCTGTTTTAGTAGGGGACTAGTATATATTGGTTTACTTGCTGAATCTTTTCGACATCCCCCTAAACCTTCTTGAGGACCCAGGATGCTAAATCGGAAGCCGCGCCCCGCGCCCCGATGCTCAAAGTATTGCAAGTGAATCAACCACAAACCATCCGGTGCCCCCCGACAACAACAGCTTTTTCCCTGCAAAAGGCAGTGGTTGGGGGGTGCTGGCTGAGATTTGCCCAGAGCTTCCAACTTGCTCCCTTGCAAGATTTTGGGCGTCCATACCCCACCTCAAAAACAACGTTCGAGCCCCACGTGGCCTAAGGTGATGTTCAAGCCATACATCTCGCGGACCCCTGATCTGCGCTGACCTACAGTGAGGCATTACAAGGGAACAAGTTGGAACCCCTGCAAATTCCAACATGGTTTCTGGTGTAGGGGAACAAGCACACCCCCCTAAGTTTCTACCATGGTCTTGTTTTGTTTTTCTTTCTTGTTTTGTGGGGTTGGGGGGTTGGGGGAGTCGGTTTGCCGTCCTCCTTCCCAGGCATCCCGTACCCTTTCGCCCGACAGAACTCCGACTCAACGAGCGCGCGACGACCGCCGCTCGCCTGTGGACTCGGTGCTGGAGAGGTAGGGCTCCACCAGGGTGACCATGGCCAGGGCCAGCATCATCTGGATCCTCGAGGCTCGGCGCTCGGCGCTCGCGAGCGGTCGGGCGCTTTGCGGGCGCTTCGGTCGGGTTTTGACGTCGGGTGGCGAGAAGGAGTGGGGGCCAAAACCCGGGAGGAGGAGGAGGAGGAGGAGGAGGAGGAGGAGGAGGAGGAGGAGGGGGGGACAAGAACCCACAAAAAAGAGAGACACAGAACACGTAGATGTACAGATCTCTGCAACTTCGCTTTGGTTCATGAACTCAGGGAGTGAGACCATGTTCAACCAACACCCAAAGGGAACCTACTGACCGTCGTACAAGGGCCCTTGGATAAAATATGAATGTGGTAGCGGGGTTCTGTAAAATCGAGTTCCCAGATGGCAAAAACATGTTCGTACAAGAAACATGGGCCTTCAGGTGTCCTTTTTGAAGGGTATCCCTTTTGGTTGGTTGGAAAGGGACATCATATGGAAAAAACACAATTTCCAGGGTCCCCCAAAAAAGGACACACCCCTTCAGCGTAAACCGTGTTCAAAGAAAGGGTTGAACTGCCCAACTCCGATTTGTTTCCCGTCTACTCATGTTCCAAAACTATGGATGGTAAACCAATTCCCCTTTTTTGTTAAAACTACCCTTTAACATGGGTGATTGCCCCAAACTTTATGGGGTGAATTCCGGTAGTTTGAGATTCCCTTTTCTATGGTTAGTTTGAGATTCCCTTCTCTATGGGTAGTTAGAGATTCCCTTTTCTATGGGTAGTGAAAAGGTTCAAACTAATTGTTGGTGAATCAATTCCCATCTTGATGGGTTGAGGTAAGGTCCTCCAGTAGAGAGGTTAGAACAAGGGTACCCTGTTTTCTATGGTCTATTTTAGTAGGGGAAGCCTCGCCCCAAAAAAGAAACAGTGAGAAAGGGCACCAATTGCTGGGGGACCTAGTTGAGGGAACGTCGAAAAAACATGTTGGTATGACGTCAACCCTCTACAAACAGCATATTTTTGTATTTACCCAAAGGAAAACCCAAGGGTTTCCCCTTTTTTGTGGGTAGCATAAAGGCATCGACCCGACGCCGCTTTCCTTTTGTTCCGAGGCGCAGCAGCAGCAATGCGGAGGACCAGGCGAGCGCAGCGAAGGAGGCGCGGATCGAGGTGAGCATCAGATACAGCGCCTCAGGCTTTCGCTCGGCCGCTGATTTTTGGATGAAATACCAAGCCTAGGTCCTCCAGTAGAGAGGTTAGAATAAGGGTACCAACAATTTTCTGTAGTCTATTTTAGTAGGGGCCTCAGGCGCTCGGCCGTTTTTTTCGCGCTCGGTTTGCTTTTTCCGGTTGAGGATGTGGGTGGTCCAGATTTTTCACCAGAAAATAATCCGCAGGTTTTGGACTTTAGTCCATTTACAGGGCCGCAGGCGGTCGGCCTCTTTTTTTTTGTTGGGGGGGGGCAAGACCAAGCGATTGGGGTCTCTGCCCACAAAGCTCTGGTGGTTCGGGGCATTTTTTTGTGTGATTGGGGTCCGATGAGTTCGGTTTTGCTTTTTCTTTTCTTTCTGCTGCTTCGGGATGTGGGGTCAACATTTTGCACCAGGGGAGGGGGTTTTGGAAACAAGAAGAATCTGGATCGCCAGTTGCTGCTTTTTCCATCCACTTTACCCCAAAACCAGAAATAGTGACTGAAAAAAAACAGCAACTTGGCTATCTAGGAAGAGCTTTCTGTTCTTCCTTGAGGGAAATCGGCGCCTCAAAAGCTGTTTCGGGGGCAAGGGGGATCTAAGGCGAGTGGTGTGCATGGCCTCAGAGGACTTGCAACCATCGGTGGCAAACAAAAACGATCGCAACTGGCGATCCAGGTTGTTCCCCAAGTACTTGCAATGCAAGGGGCACCCACCACAACACACGGTTGAATTTCCAATGTTGCCAACTGGTTCATCTCTACTCTTGGTATGGTAGCTAAAAACTTTGTTTTTTGCAGACCCCCAGTGAAAATGAACAGAACAAAAAACAAAAAACCAGAATTTCCAGGGTTGCCAGCTGGTTTGCCACTTGCAATATGTCAGGGGATGTCGGGGGATGTCATCCACGGAGCTCAAGGCCATACACGTGAAATGGGGCGATCGGTTCGGTGCGAGGTGAGAGCATCCGAGTGGATCGGCTCAAGGGGGTCCCTCGTGGTTGTTTCTCTAGGGGTTTTTGGCTGAGAGGCTCTCTGTTCGTTTGAGCGCCAAACCATGGTTTGAGTGGCAAATAATTATATTTGGTTTATTAACTCGTTTGTTTTATACGAGTTTTGGCGAATCTTTTTTTTTTTTTTTTAATTGACATATTTTATTATTGTTCTTTATCATCCTTATTATTTGGTTCTGCTAAGGAGACCCCCTATCCTGCCCGGTCTTCCAAGGCAAATGCAAGGTTTTTTTTGGGCAAAGGGTTGACGTACCCTACCCCTTCGGGCGCGTGGCATCGCACTGCTCGAAGATCTTCACCAGCCTGCGAGACACTTCGATCGAGACCGATCCGGCGCGATCCGCCGCATTCCGTGAAGAATTGGCCCGTGTTCTTGCCTCGTTTCCCGCAAAGGCAAAAAACAAAGAAGAGCGCGGTGCCCTTGGAAACGATGAAACAGCTGGGGGTTTGAGCCACAGCCTTTTCGGCTTCAACTTGTGGCTTGGATTGGTGGTGTGGAGGCTGGGGCGGAAAAGAGAGAGCAACCCCGCACGCACGAAACCCCGCAGATCGCGAAGCTCAACGGCTTGGCAACCCCGGCACTTAAGCCCCAAAAAACCTGCGGAAACTGGGTCGTTTGCCACTCAAATGGCAACCAAATCCGAAAAAAGTGACCCACTCCGAGCTGTCTGGAAAGAACTCCCTGGATCGCCAGTTGCGATCGCTTTTTCCCATCCACTTGACTTTACCCCAAAAACCGATCGCCACAGTGACTGGAGAAAAAACATCATGATGGCAACTTGGCTATCTAGGTCGCCCGTTTTTCGTGAGCGACTCAAGTTGTTCTTCTGGGCGCGGTGACATGACTCGCTCCCTCGCCTCACCATGCGCATGAGCCGACTGAGCCGGAAGAGCCGCAAGATCATGGGGTCCAGCGGGAAGCCCGTGGTGGTCACGCGCTCCGCGTACCTGGTCTCAGCTGAGCTTCCCTTTTCTATGGGTAGTTTCAAGGTCCAAACTAATGGTCGGTGAATTCCTGCCCTTTTTTTTTGGGTAGTTTCAGGGAAGGTCCAAATGATAGGCGTCTTTTTAGGGGAAATCGATGGATATCCCTGGTAGATGACAAAAACAAAAAAAACACCAGGTAAACCCGGGATCGCCATCTATTTTTTGTAGCAAAACTACCAAAAAAGGACTCCTATGGTCTCAGGCTTGAATGAACCTGGGGATCGTTAAAAAGCACAGGATGGATGTTTTTTTTGTGGGTTATTCCTGGGAATTCCTGAATAAGAGGGAACTCAGTGGTTCAGAACCCGTTTGGGGGGAAGACCATTTTTAGTGGGGCCACCAAAAAAAAGGGGAAACAGGGTGCCACTGAACAACTGAGGGAATGAATCTGGGGATTCTCGAAATAAAGGAAACCATAGCGGATGGATGGCTTTCTTGGGGTCAGTCCATTTCTCAATTCCCTGCTGAGCACCAAAACACTTTTTGCAGCTCGTCAGTAAACATGAACAGAACCAAAGGTGAGGTCCAATTGGTGGGTTTGCAGCCCTGTGCGTTGGTGGGTTTTGTGTCCTAGTTACCCACAAGAACCAGGGGTATGGCCCAAAATGGCTCCGCACCAACATGGCTCGACCTGGCAAATGCGAATTCCCGCCTGGCTGGAAAACAAAATTGAGCCGCACCCAAATGAGCGGTTGGAAAGGAAAGGCCTTTTCGGAGTTGGCAACCCAAACAACCATTGGTGCCCTTTTGACAACCTAAAGCAGTCCCATCTATTTCTCTCTCCAAACCTAAAAACATGTGCAGCCCCGCTCATTCCCCTTTACGAGGCCAAAAAGGAACCGGTCCCTTGTTGTCCACCCGAAGGGTCCCGGCTGTTTTGGGATGCTGAAACCCTGAGAAATCGGTCGGGTTCTCGCTAGGGCCCCTTGAGGGTTGTGCATTGGGGTCACTCGTCCGTTCCTAAAAAATGGAGGGGGGGGCGTTGAGGTTCTATGTGAATCTGCAACCCCCCCCCCCCCGCCCAGCGCTTCCAGTTACCTCTATAGCAGGTAACCAGAGTTAGCTCAAGGTGTCGCATGATGGTTTTCCCTGCTTACCTAAATGGTAACTGTACCTGGAAACACGGGGACCCATTCTAACATCCACCCTTTTGCTCCACCTCTTTCCGGGCCAACGGAAACCAAAGGGACCCATGAAGGAAACCCGAAATGGCCAGAATTCCACTGGGCAAGGTGGACTTTGGGCCTACGGACTCCGAAGTCGACACTCGCAGGTCGGTTCTTCCCCCAGCGCTTGGAGTCACTGGGAGCAATGCTCAGATGCCCAGCGGCCAGGGGACTTTTTTTTTTGGTTGGTTGGTGGCCTTTGGAGGAACCGGAGCCCTTCCCGAAAAAAAAAGTTGAAAAAGGAAGCAACCCACTGGGCAACTGAACAATGCCGTAACAAAATCCACCTGGAGGGTTCAGAAACACCAAATCTTGGTTGACGTTGGCAGGGGAGCAAACATTGTAATTTGTAGCAGTTAAGTGCTTGGAAATCAACCACGAAACCACAATAAACAAAAATGTGAAAAAAAGAACAAACACGGATCCCAACAACAAACTAGGTCCTCCAGTAGAGAGGTTAGACTAACGGCGCCCTTTTTTTTCTTCTGTAGTCCATTTCAGTAGAGAACCCTCCCAACCGCAAAAAATGGTGAGAAAGGGCACCTAGCTGAAACAACAACAACAACCATGAACAAGGGGTCCATTCATCTGGGGTCATTTCTTTTTTGTCCTCCAGCAGGGCACCAACTTCTTTCTGTAATGAAATAAACCCCCCTGGTCAAGATCGACCTTAGAAAACTCGACTTCCGAGTCCCGAGTCCCAAGGCCGCGTCGACGTCCCGAGTCCGCGTCGACTCATGCCGGGGGACCAGATGCAGACCACCAGGGTGTCCAGCCAGTTCCAAATGTCCTGGAAAGGATGGGCTCCCAAAGCCACGAGAGACAACGATCCTTGGTTTTTTGCAGGTGTGTCAGGAAAACACCTCGTGTGTTGGGGTGTTGTGTGTGTGTGTGTGTGTGTGTGTGTGTGTTGTCTTTTCTCTTTTTGAAAAAAAAGGTGTTTGTTGGAAAACCTGGTTTTCCATGCCAAATACCTTCTTGTTTAGAAAGGGTTGACATCATACCATGAAAACAGGTGGGCATTTCGTACCAAAATGGCCTTCCTGGGGTGGGGGGGGGGGCGGGCAGAGTTGTTTTTACGGCTCCACATGGGTCGCAGGGTACGGGTTCTGGGTTCTCCATAGGGCACAAAATGGGTTGCGCATCGGGTCCGCTTGTAGGTTTCATGTAAAGCCCTTCTTGCAAGTTCGAGGGTCCATTCTGGGATCCGGGGTGCTTCCGTTCAGAAAACTGCCAATCGGCAGCAAACGCCAAAGTTTCAAATACGCACCCATGGTGGAAATAGTGGCTCGCTTCCGTCCTGGAGATGGTCAGATTCCATTTCGTTTGGTCAATCCCAAAGAAACAAACCATTTTGGAGGAGACGTTACTTGGTTGACGTTGGAAGGGGAGCAAACATTTACATCCACTAAACCACAACAAGCAAAATGTAAAATGTTTCCCAACAACAACCATGCTCAGGGGAATTGGGTTTCCAACCAACCGGCGAGAGAATGTGGGCCCCACTTTGGGGCAACTTCTGACGTCGCGGGTGAATCCGCCCTGTATTCCTCTTCAACATCGAAGGAGGCATAGCCAGAGTTGGGCTTCTTTCTATTTTTTTGGCCACCCGCCCAGGGAAACATGGGGACCCAGCTTTTCGAGTCCAAGGCCTATTTTTTATTGGCCACTCGCTCGACAGCTGTTCGAGTCCAAGGCAAAAGGATGAACCAGGGACAGCCCACGGCTCGGCTTGAACCGCTTGAAGTTCTTGAGGCTAGGAGAGCGATTTCCGGAGCACCTAGCCACCAATCCAAACCACAAAGAGGGAAGATACAGGTCGCACCAAAAAGCAAGGGACTAGATGCTTTCCCGGATGCGTGCAAATATAAGGTCCATGGATATTATAGGACTCCGTTCTCTGTGTTGTTGACTCGGTTCATTGCCAAAGCAGTGCAAGTGGCTGACAAAACGTTTGAAGTCCAACTCAGGGATGAGGTTGATGCCCCATTCTTTTCAACCACTGCTCTTTTCCAAAACCAGCGATTGCGAGGTTTCCAGAAAGAACAAATCCCTGCAAAGCATGGGGAAAGTACCCCTAGAATATTCGAACGTGGGTGAAACTCTGGCCTCATCAACATCGGCTTGGTTTCCGGCCCGTTTTCGCCACGCGACTGCGATTTGGCCGCGATTCGCCGCTCGACTCTTCAAGTGGTTGATGCTTTGATCTCGCGCAAATTGGACTCCCTCCGCAAATTCAGGGAGGGAGCCCACAGGGGATGGGGGCTCAAGTCGTCTCACTTTCAATTTTCACGCTTCCTTCCGAAAATTCCGAAACCTAAGCAACAAAAATTCCTCTATTTTTTTAAGCAAACTCACCAAAAAGGACACCTAATGTTGACCCAGGATTAATAACTCCGTCCCAATATTGGGGTGTTCCCTCCAAAAGTGGTCTGAATCCCCACGAAAAGGAATTGGACACCCCCCCATGAACATCAACCAGGGGTTCATGAATCCGGGCTGTTCCTTTTTTGCTTTGGGCGGGGGACCTACCGCTTTTCCCGCGCCCCGGGCTTGACTTCTCCCCCGCCGGGGTTTCGCCGGGACGTGGTTTCGCTCATTTCTGGTACTCCGCGAAGGCTTGATGCCCCGTCGCCTGGCGATCCGAAGACGTGTGGTTCAATGGACACCCCCCGCTAAACCCCAAAAAAGCCAAGCTGTAAGGGGATGGCCACCAAGATATACAAGGCAACACGGCCAAGCTTTCCCCCGAAAAAGCTAAAGAACTCAGGGAATTGACCCAAAAAGCGGCCGTGGACAGTCGGGGTGTTCCTGAAGTGACCTTCAAGCCCCCATCATTCAGCCATCATTAAGCCATCCACGACAGCCAGAGGGACACCCCATCATTAAACCTTGGTTGACGCAACGGAAGGGGAGCAGACATGATAAAAACTTAGCAGTTCGGTGGTTGGATTTCAACCACTCAACCACAAGAAGCAAACATCTAAAACACGTTGCCCAACGACCATGAAACAGGGCTTCATTCATCTCTGGGCCGCAAGATTGACTTTTCGTGGGTTAAATGGAAACTAAGCACGAAAAGACTAAACAACTAAGGAGCCGGATGGCTGGGAGCCACCAAGATCTGAGGTTTGGACAACTCCTACCGTAGGTGGACGATTTGATCAAACCCTTACAACTGTAACGCCCCCCCTTGAACCCCAATTTCAATGTTATTGCCCGTTTTGAGGGTCGGGCTGGGTGGACGAATTAAATCAAACCCCGATGACATGAAAAGCGCTTGTGTTTAGTGTAACATTGACATTAGGGGGTACAGGGGGGGGTGTGCGCCGCAACTGTTGGCGGTTTGATTAATTTGTCCATCTACTGTCTGGACAGGTAGTTTTTCATTGTTTTTGGTCTTGGCAAGATGAAAGTATGTTTTCTCCTAGAAAGATGAAGCAAATTGTCTTACGCGTGCATCAGCAGACGCTATCTTTTCACGAACTTCATGCACGTGGACATTGCGCAGCAGACGGCTGCCGAGAGCGACATGGCGCACGCACGGATTTGCGCAATGCAACTGACTAGAAGAGACAAAAGCAATGGAGAAACGCGAAAGACAAGCATATTTTTCTGAGAGTGAAGTGAGGACATTGCGCGGCAGATGGCTTTGCACGAAAGACAAGCAGATGTTTCTAGAAGAAGACATACTTTCATCTTGCCCAGTTCCTAATCCCCGGTTGTTCAAATTACTTGAGTTTTTCCCAGTTCCTAATCCCCGGTTGTTCAAATTACTCGAGTTTTTCCAGTTCCTAATCGCTGTCCCAGATCCTTTCCAGTTCCTTTCCAGTTCCTTTTCCAGTTCCTTTTCCAGTTCCTTTTCCAGTTCCTTTTCCAGTTCCTAATTAGGATTTGCTGTGTTTTCTCAGTCATCCCAAGTTGCTTAAAATAAAAAAGAAACAAATACTTTTTTCTTTTTCTTTAAATGAAATCATGATCAAGCAGCAATTGCTGAGAAAACACAACAAATCCTAATTAGGAACTGGAAAAGGAACTGGAAAAGGAACTGGAAAAGGAACTGGAAAGGAACTGGAAAGGAACTGGGACAGCCGAGGAATTCGAACACCCGGGGATTAGGAACTGGAAAAACTCGGAATTTGACCACCCGCAGGTTTGGAACTGGAAAACTCAAGCACCTGCGGATTAGGAAGTGCAAAAGCTCGAGGAAAGCCGCGCAGATTTCAACAGACGCCTCTTCCAAAATGAACGTGCGCAGGGTCAACTAGTATGTGCGTAGCCACCAATTCTGGAACCGAAGCGCTAGCCGTACCGTAGGTGGATGATTTAATCAAACCCTTACAACTGTAACGCCCCCCCTTGAACCCCAATTTCAATGTTATTGCCCGTTTTGAGGGTCGGGCTGGGTGGACGAATTAAATCAAACCCCGATGACATGAAAAGCGCTTGTGTTTAGTGTAACATTGACATTGGGGGGTACGGGGGTGTGTGCGCCGCAACTGTTGGCGGTTTGATTAATTTGTCCATCTACTGCAGGTCTTCCAGTAGAGAGGTTAGAATAAGGGCACCCTTTTTCTGTAGTCTATTCTAGGGGAACCCTCCCAACCAAAAAAGGGGTGAGACAAGGCCTAGTCCGGGTGGGGGAAACAAGCCGGGGAGGTGAAGCATACGGACAGCCATGGACAGGTTCCTTGGCTAGTTGGCCACAAGTAGCTGCAATGGCTCTCCCTGCCACTGAATCGGTCTCAAGGGCAACAACCTCCAATGGGTTTGTGGAAGTTAAGAGTTGCCACCAATCCAATTGGTGCTTGGTGGACATCAATCCCCACCACCCACCCACCCCACCCCCCAAAAGAAAACACAAACATGTCTGAGGGGTCCCGAATTAGGTTTCACACCCAAATAAGCATTGACATCAATCCATCCCTACAGAAATGTCTGAGACCCCCGAATTAGGGTTTGGAGCAACTCCTTGCGTAAGCCTGCGGCTTGCAAGCTCTCTCGGCTCTCTCGGCGGCCTGGGCGTGGTCCTTGGCGGCCGCCGCGCCCTCCAGGCCCTCCTCACCGGCAAGCAGCGATCGGGTTTCCGAGGCCCTGGGGTTGGCTCTGACATTTCCGCTTGCAGAAGGGAGACCTTTCCTGCCTGGCAGAGTTAAAAGTATATGGTATTTACTTGTTTAAGGGATATTGGTTTTTGTTTTGGCCTGACAAGCTTTTTTCTTAAAGGATCCAGATACCTCCGTATGAGGGATATATTTTGTCCTTACACAGTGACTTTATATGGTCTTGTGTAAAGACTCAGGCCGAAAACTGGTTTGGCTTCCAGTGGCAGAAGAGGATGTCAGGTCCGGCGAAGCGATTCTTCATGCATCGAGACCGACCGACAAAAACAAACTTTTGCAAGCCTTTGGTACTCCTACACACTTGGTTGACGTTGGAACTAAACCACAATAAGCAAACATGTACATTCTTCCCCAACAACCATGCACAATGCACATGGGGAAGAAACAGCAAACCATGAAAGCAAAGTATACCCGCCGCAACCCCCAAATGCCTGCTATTTTAGGATTTTGTTGTCAACCTGTGACTAAAGAGGGTAGTATTTGTTGTCACTTTAGGGCAAAGAATTCTCAAATGGTACAAACGTGAGCTCTTGGCCCAAACTGCGCCCCCCCCCCAATTCGCCGGATTTGGACTTCCTTCCCCGGGTTTCGTCAAACGCCCCTGTCCGGGTTCCTCAGCCCCCCCGACTCTTTTTTGCACTGCTTGGACCTGTTCGGTTTGCAGCGC